CCAATCTTATTTGCTGACTTACTCTCCAAATACTGGCAATATGGTGAAATCCATCAGCCAACTCAAGCCAGGTCTCCCACCACAGAGCCATCAACTGCTGCCTCCCAGCAACTGCTTCATCAGGAAGGTGCAAACAGAGTTGGGTCTTGAACCTTGGTACTCTAACAAGGTATAAAATGCATCCTAACAGGCATTTTCACAGGCTGAATGCCTTTCTATACACACATTTTAATTCCATTTCCCACAGACTTTTTGAAGCATCCTCCTGCAGTCAACACGCATATCATCTACATTCAAAAATCAATAAGTTTGAAGATTGGTAAAAGTATCATATATCTCCCATGTGTTTTTTCCCTTTTCCTACTTCAAGCTCTTTAAAACTACTGTCTGCTGATAGGCCTGGCATGGTAGCCTAGCAGCTCAAGTCCTCACCTTGAATGTGCCAGCATCCCATATAGGCATCGGTTCTAATCCTGGCAGCCCTGCTTCCCATCCAGCTCCCTGCTTGTGGCCTGGGAAAGCAGCCAAGGACAGCCCAAAGCCCTGGGACCCTGTATCTTTGTGGAGGACTTCAAAGAGACTCCAGGCTCCTGGCTTCAGATCGGCTCAGCTCTGGCTGTCGTCTGGCTGCTCTCTCTCTCCTCCTCTATGTATCTGACTTTGCAATAAAAATAAAAAAATCTTAAAAAAAAAAAAAAACAACAACCATGGTCTGCTGTACTGCCATAGAAAGTTTCTTTTCCACACATTTGTAACAAAATGGGTAGTAAGGTTTAAGCCGGCAAAGCACTCCGGATTTTGATGTATTTTGATAAATGAGTAAAGAACCTTTAGCTCTAAGGGTCCCCCTGCGCGGTAACACACCGTGGCGGAGTCGTCCCAAGCCATCCTTGATTTTTTTTTTCCCCTTTAACACTGTTCACCCGCCAGATGTTTACTGAGTACCTAGTAAATGTATGCGATCTCTGAATGCACACCACAGGCCAGGGTCCAGCCTCTGAGTCTGGATGTGGTGCGGGGCGGGGCACGGGCAGCCTGGGTAGCCAGCAAAAACCTAGGATTTATTCCATCTGAATGAGGGTCTTCTCACTTCCCTCTCAGGTGAGCTGGTAAATTGTGAGCAAAGAACACCCTGACTGGAAAAATCACAGAGTTCAATAACAGGTTTTCCTGAATGACATCAAACTGGTTTGGTAATTATTACAACCCCGAAATCTTTCAAGGTGGTTAACTTCCCTCAGCATCAAAGTAACAAGCATTTAAGCCCTCAGGCAAGACGGTGCAGCTTGGAAAAGTATTAACAGAAAACCTGTTAAGACTCTTATTTGGAATCCACAGCCAACGTGGCGTGCCTATTTACAACGTGATCCGATAGAGCCCACTAGGCTCCATGCCGCGGAGGCCACAAAACGCCCAGCTACAGGCTGACGGCAGAGCTCCTTCGGGCTCCCTATTTTTTTTTTTTTTTTTTTTTGTTTAACGTCTATGCCAACGTCCCGAACAGCCGAGGAGGCCACACTTCCAAAGAAAAACCCGGTGAGGCACAGCCCTCGGCAGCCCGCGCCGCTTGCAGCTGCGGCGGCGTGAACTCGACGCCACTCCAGCGTCGCCCTCAGCTTCAGAGCGCTCTGGCATATCTACTGCCAAAGCAACAGCGACTTAAAAACAAAGTCTCTAGTTATGCGACTGAGAGGAAGTCACGCAGCGCTTCCCGGCGTAGGGAGACTCGGACTCGCGAACCTAAGCCACCTCAGCCTCGTTTTATTTATTTATTTTTTTTCAGTGTGATTTTTGCTTTTTTTGGCTCGCTCTAGGCCAGTCGTCTCACAGACTGGACCGGACAAGCCAAAAAAAAAAAAAAAAACCCAAAAAAACCAAAAACAAAAACCCCTAGAACGCAGGGACGACGGCGAGGGCAAGAAGCGTCCCCTAATAAGGAGGATGCACCCCGTGAATGTCACTTTCTACTCAGGCACTTCAAAGCCACCCAAGAGGCTCGCTCCACGGCGTCGCCGCCGACAGGCCGAGGCGGTCGCTCCAGGCCGGAGGGCGGGGCCCGCGCCATCTCCACGCGAGAGCAGCCGCGAGACTTCCCAGAAAGCCTCAGGCGAAAGCTTCAGAACGGCCCAGTCGCCGGTTCAGGGCGGAAGAGTGGGCGGGGCTTGCGCAGCTATTTAGTGGCGCCCCGAGGCCACGCCCCAAGTCGGAAGTGACGGAGGCGGGCTGGCGCGTCGAAGCTACCTCTATGGTTTTTCTCTCGTTCTCGAGTCGGGAAATGGCCGCTGTGTAGTTCCAACGGAGAGAAACCCCACGGAACCGTGCTGCGGCGTGTCAGGTAGGCCTCGAGGACCGTTCGGGTGACTAAGAGGGTCTTGAGGAACCGAGAACGGGGTTAATATCGTTGGCTCTTTTGTGGGTGCTGACGGGCTGGCGGCGCCGAGAGAAGCCCGGGGGCGTCGCGCCGTTATGCGTGCGGCTTTGCCCGGGCTCTCCTCAGAGGGCCGGTGCGGGGGGGGGTCCCCGCGGGGCCGAGGACGTGGTTGTGTGGGGATGGGGGGGGGCGATGAGGCGAGAGGCGCCGACGAGGCGAGGGCGCGCGCGCGCCAGGCAGGGCCTCGAGCCGGGTTCGGGCGCCGGAGCCCGCGCGGCGCGCCGTGCGCGTGCGCAGCCCGCCCTGGCCCCCCCCCCGCGGCCGGGCCTGCGCGCGCCCGAGCTCGGTCTGCGCAGGCGCGCGCACGCCGCGGGCCCCGCTCCCCGTCGCGGTCGGCGGTCGCTCCTCTCGGCGGTCCCCACGTTGGCCGGCGGCCTCCGCCCCGGCTCCGGGTAGGTGGTGAACCCGTTTTTGGCGTTTGTCTTTAACTTCTTTTTCCTCAGTTTCAGGTACTTTTTTTTTTTTTTAGGGGTGGGGGGGTCTTTTCGGCGCGGGGTCCCGTTCTGTTCCGTGTAACCGACGTCAGCCCTTGGTGCTGTAGGGAAGTTTGCTGGCGCGGTAACCCTGGTTTCCTCCGACTTCCACCTTGGCTCGCGGAGCGGGCGCCTCGTTAGGGCTTCTTAGGCGGGAGTTCCGGGCTTCGCTGACCGGAAGGCGCTCCTCTCCCGGTTAGAAGGCTCCAGAAGAGCCGCGGCCCGGGCAGGTGGCCGGCGGGGCTGGGCTAGGTGGGGAGGAGCGCCCGTCGGAGTCCGGACTTTGTCCCTCATCCCCCCACCTTCCTTCCTTCCTTTTTAAACCCTTACGTCTGGTGAACTTGTAAGATTTCCGTGGAAGCGAGTGGAGGCCTCCGCCTGCTTTTCTGCATCACACTTTTGGAGATTTAAGAGTTTAAAAAGTTGAAAGCCAGTGTGGCTAGACCTGACTGGATTACCTACTGCCGCCTCCGGTGCCGCGGCAGCCGCCGGTTCTGAATCTTAGGTTGAAGAGGAAGACACTGCTTGTCCGTCGTGCGACTTGGTGTTCCGTTTAGGCTCTGGATAGACTCGTTAGGCTGCTGAAGACAGTGCTTATGTAGGAAAGACTGCTGCAAGCAGATTGGCGTTTTTGTGTGGTGTTTATCAACCTCGGGGTAACTTCGCTGGGAGAGTCTGTGTGTGAAAGGGTTTCCGCAGCTGCGAACCCTTAGGTTGTGTCCCACGGCACCTGAGCCCCCTGAGTGTAGATAATTCGAAGGGGAACAGGAACTTCAGCGTTGATTCTTGATTTGGAAGAATAGTAGCTTAGGACCCAGCGAAAGACCTGTTGAAAGTGCTGCGCGGGCAGGGTTTGGCGTGCTCGTGGGAAGGCCCGCATCCTCGTGGCTTCTGCTTTGGATTCTAGCTTCCTGCTGGTGCAAGCACCCGGGGTGGCAGCGATGGATAAATGATTGGGTCCCCGCTGGTCAGGTGGGGCGCCTGGGTTGAGTTCTTGCGTCTCTAGCCTTGTGGACTTTTGAGAGTTGAAGCAGCAGAGGAGAGTTCACATTCTTGCTTTCTCTGCCTTTGAAACAACAAAATAAAATTAGAGATCTCACTGGTAGGCTAAGATCTAGCTGGGTTTATTAGGTGAGCAGCAGGTTGTGCTGCTAGACAACTGATGATAAGACTTGCTGAAATGGAGGCAGCTTTTTGAGCTTTGCATAGTGCTTTGGATTAGAAATTTTCTGAGACTACGTTGAAATACATAGTTAATGCTGTCTGAGTTCTGTAATTTACTGTAGGTAAGGGAATTGAGACAGCCATGTTTGGTCAAAGTAGTATATAAATATTGTGCTTGGAGGACATGCATTTGTTTATTTTTTATTTGGCTTTTTACACAGTGATCATTAGTATTGCCTCAGAGTCATAAGCATTGAGTATCTTTTTTGTATTCAAGATAAAAAATGACTAGTTTACTGACAGAAACACAAGTTTATATGTGTAATATTTTCGAGTTCTCAAAACTAATTTTAGCTGGTAAGTCAGTATTTATGTTCTGAGTAGAGGTCAGTGCTACATAACCAGAGTGTGGTACTTCCCGGTTTTAGAAGGCAGGGAATCTACTCTGTTCCCACCTGCTCCTCTTAATCGGACTAAGACTTCAAATTTTCTGACAAATTTTTCTTTTTCTCATTTTAAAAAGCTTTTAGCTAAGGACTTTTCAAACAGAAAGGCATAGTGTTACTCCCTGAGTTTAATAGCCAGCGCTTTACTAATTTTAAATGTTGTCTTTTTGTGGGATATTTTGAAGTAAACTTCCCAGGTATTTTCAAAGTATTTGTGGAAAGAATGTCATGTAGATTAAGATTATATGTACTTTATATTTTAGAATCAATAGAGATAAACCTAATGGATAGCCAGCTGAAAGACTGACAAACAAGATTTACCAGTGAGCATATGTAATGCTTGAGTGCATTATCTTGTGCCAAACTAAGTTAAGCCTTTTCTGTACTTGCAGAAATTGCAGCTGAAAGAGGTTAAAATAACTTGCAATGTTGCAGTTAATGGTTGAGCCAGTATTTGAGCTTAGTCTACTGAAATAACAGGTATGGGATATTATTTTGAAGATTTAAAAAACATGAATATCAGGAATTTGTTTATAAAATGTGGGGCACAAACTCGGTGAAGCTGCTGATTCAATGAGAGCTTGACTCAAGTATGCTTAAACTGGTATCCTAAAATAGATGGAGTCTGAGGCTTCATCCTGGCAATTCTGTGGAGGCCAGGTTGTTTGATTACTTGTTTTGCCTGGTTATTCCGTGAAAAAAAAGTCTGTTGTGGTGTCTCTGACCTTTAGTTCTTAAAATTAAGTTTTATTTTTTAATCTTTGTTCCTCACTGACTGGCGAGTAATTAGTAAGGTTATGAGAGAAGTTATTTGACATGTATCTGTTAGTGATGTTAATTGTAATAAAGGGAAAATTGATTTTGGCATTTTGTATTTTAAGTGTTTTGGAGAAAGCACAGGAATTGGACTCAGGAGATTACAGTAAAATTCTGGGTTTAGTAACTTGAACGTCCTAATTTTATTTTTGGCTTTCCTTCCTGTGCTGTCTATCCTATGCACAGTGAACATCTTAAATTGTAAATTACAAGGTGCTAAAGCCCTGATCAAATGCTCCAGGGATTTCCCAGTGGAGTTAGAATAAAATCCACATTCCTAATTCACATGTGCTAGGTGCTATTTGATTCATTATCACTTAAATACAAATTACATAATTTGATATACCAAAATGGCATTGTTAGCTACTGTGGATTTCCTGATAGAGTGACAGTATGTACCCTGCTTCCTAAAATCCAAATGCTAAAATGATAATTCTAGTAGCTAACTTGAAAAGTTAAGGTACTGTCACATTGTGATTTTTTTGTTGTTGGCAAAAGCTTATTATTTCCTAAATCAGTTTCCCCTTCTCTTAAACCACAATATGAGCCTTTATTTGCTTTGTTGTATTACATAGAGTTTAGTGTAAATAGTGGACATTTAATTTATCACAAACTTTTTTATCTTTAGGAATCTGAAATTAGAGTTTAATTTCTCAGAACATTCTCTCCAGGAAGAATTTTACAATATCTCAGACTGTACTTACTGATCCTGTGTAAAGCGCAAGGTAAATAGCCTTTATTTTACTGGTTTTCAATTTTGATTTAGCTTGGAAATGTAACTGCTGAACTGATGATTCAGCAGCTAGAGTGATAGTGTTTTATGGTCTAGGCTGATGTGGCCCAGTGGGTTAGGCTGCTGCTTGGGACACCAGCATTCTACACTGAAGTGCTAGGTTTCAGTACTAGCTTCTGATTCCTCTTCTAATCCAGCTTCCTGCCAGTGCTGCCGCAGGTGATGGCTGGAGTGCATGTGTCCTTGCAGTGCACTTAGGAGACCCAGAATGACGTATAGGCTCCTGGCTTTGGTCTTCCTCAGCCCTTGCTGTGTGGGCACCCTGTCCAACCCCACTTTTATTACTTCCCCTCACGCTTTTTCTGTCTCTTCCTGTCAGTCATTCTGCCTTTTAAGTAAATAACAAAACACTTTTTAGTGTGTTTGTATGAAGTTAAGCCAGATATTAAGTTAGTTTCAGGAAAAAGATTGTTTTAATCTGCTTCTAGGTTGTATGTCTGCTTCTGGTTCTGTAAACGCATCTACTAAAAGACTGAATGTACAGGCTGTTTAAAAACAAAATAAGACAAAAATAACAGCTGCTAAACCCATCCTCCCTCATTCAGTCAAGCAGAGTACAACAACTTTTTTTTCCCCTCTCCCTTGATGTTAAGGTAATTAAAATTAATTGCTTATTGTGTACCAGACATTGTGTGAAATACACGTGTCAACTCATTTAGTCCTCTACTAGCCTATGAAGTAGGAAGTTACTTTTTTTATCTTACAGTTAAGGTGACTGAGGTTCAGAGATACTAAAACATTCACTCAGGGTCACACATCTAAGGAAGTTTATGGCCTGGTTTTGAGCTGCATAGTATAAATGCAGAGGCTGTGTAGCTAGGTTCTTTCAGCCATGTTTATGGTATTTTTGTAGAATGGGGGGGAGAACCATGTGAATCCAATTTCTCTTGCACTAATACAGATGTTTTCTTATCCCTTTCTTTGAAAGGATCAAATGTCTATAGAAAAATGAATTGGCTGCTTTAAAAAAAACTATGTTCTGGGTAATGCATTGAGTCAAAGATTATTTATGAAATAATTTACTCATAAGTAATGCCACCTCCTGAGAATACTTTGTTGAACATAAAATACAAAAGGGATTGTCCTTAACCTTGACCAGGTTATCATTTGAATAGTGTGTAATACTGTTCAGGTAATTCTGTTAAAAAGACTAGTTGGATAGTCTTAGAAGCAGTTTGTTTTCCTAATCACGAATTGTGCGTGTGCGTGTGTGTGAATTTTACCCAGACCACGAATTGTGCGTGTCTGTGTGTGTGTGTCTGTGTGTGTGTGTTACTTTTACCCAGACCAACATATTTTAGACTGGAAAGGCCTGCACTATTCCTGATTCATTTAGTGGAAGATAGCATAAAATAAAAATGTTTTAAAAGCTGAGAAGAGATTCTAGATATCTGCATAACAGTACCTTTAGTGTTAGATAAATTGAAAGTCTTTGACTTGTTAATACAGTGGACAAACTTTGCCTTGTTGGGATCTTAAATCAGTTGCAGTGCCGGGGTTTTTAGTTGTTGTTGTTTTGTTTTTTTAAATAAAGAATTATTTGGAAAATAGAGTTCTTATGTCCTTTCCAAATGCTCACTGGAACCCCATTGATGGAAGAGGGCTGTGCAAAGCCTAGGGGATCCCAAAGTGCGGAACTCAGTCCTGATCTCCCACATGGAGTACAGAAACCAACTACTTGAGCCATCACTACTGCCTGTGTGGCCTTACCTTAGCAGGAAGCTGCAGTCAGGAGTCAGAGTTGGGAGTTGAGCCCAAGTACAGTTATATGGAATGTGTCACTAAAAGCCTGCTACTCCTTTTATTTTGTACAGTGTCTGATGATTGAAGAGGAAAAATGTCAGGGTGTTGAAGTCTAGTCACTACAAGTATAAATTATTTCTTTAAAAAGTTTGAGAGCAGTATGTTGAAGACAAATAGCAATGAAGAGTCACAATTTGTTATGGTACACAGTCCTTTTGTTAGACTGTAAATTTCATTATGCTGTCAAGATTAAATGACAGTTTGGTAAACAGAATTTGTCTTTTCCACAAGATCTGCCTAAGTTTATATAAAACTTACTATTATATTGGTTGTGGAAATCTAACTCCATGTTTTTGAATCCTTGGCCTATGTTTTAGTTTTGTCTATTTCTTTGCTTACTTGGGATTAAGAGGAAGAGTAGAAGCAAAAGAAGTCGACTAGGAGACAGTTAGGTTTGTTCTAAATTATTTTTCTGAAACCTGTTTGTCATTTATGTATTTGGGAAGGAAGTATATAGACATTATCAGTGTATAACTTCTGTAACTCGGCTCATTTAGGCACCTCTGTAAAGTCTGTAAAACTGTTCAGTGTCTGTAGGTAAAATAGTGCCTTCAAGTATAATTGATTGTGGGGAATATGATTTAAAGACACAAATTGCATGCAGCTACAAATTTAGCAAGTTGATATTAGTGGAAACCATTACTTTGAATGATAAAGCAATGAAGTTTGTAGCAAAAAGAAGTTTGGAAAGCTGAGACGATAGTTTTACAAAATCATTTAATGAAAGTTTTCAGAATATGACAATTGGACTATGCATGCAGTGACTTGCTTATGAAGTAGAAATCAGTACTGACTGTATAGTGCTTTCTGTACTCCATAGATGTAATTGCAGCATTGAACAACTTGTAGTGCTTACAACTAGTTAAAGAGCTGGTTTAGAAGTTTGTCTTTTCATGCAGTCCTAATATCTGTAACCATATCTCCAATTCACCCTTTCTCATTTTCTCAGAAAGATACAGGATGAACTAAGTATTATTTTTCTGAGATCATGGCTGTTGAGAGCAGAGCCATAATTCCAGCTGTTCAAAGACATGTGACCTTCATTCTACTAGGAGACTACCCTAGGCAGTATTGTATAGATGTAGTGGTCAATTTGATCCTGTTTCAAGACCATGAAGTGCCGTCCTGTAGGTTTATATTTCTTCAGTGTTGTGTATTTTCTTTGTTTCAGGTTCTTTATAATGTACATTTCTATTCGTATTATTTATCTTTTTTATAGGTGAGGTAGGCATTTGTATTGGGTATGTAATGACATCTGACATGCTGTTGCAGTCAAATATTGTTCTTGCTGGCTTCTGTAGCCTGCTACCTTTTTGGATTGAGGCTTATAGGTGGGGCAGTCCATGGAAATCTTCAGTACCTGTCTAGAGATATTGCAGTTTTAGTTAGAGATTTTGACCTGTCATGCAATTGTCATTTGAAAAAAATGCTAATAATGAGTAATATTGTTAGAACAATGTATAAAATTCCACTCGTATCTGAAAATGGGAAAGTTAAAACATGAGACAATTTTGACCATTTTTACTCTTTGATTTGACTAGGGAGAAATGGGTCGCTCCAATTCTAGATCACATTCTTCAAGATCGAAGTCTAGATCACAATCTAGTTCTCGATCAAGATCAAGATCACACTCCAGGAAGAAGCGATACAGGTGACTTAATGTCGTCTTAATTCTTTGATTAATCATGCCAGCAGATATATAATTGAGTGCCTACCTGCGCACAGACTCAAGTGCTAAATCCATTAATATATTTTATTCTCAACCTGTGAAATGGATTCATTCTCATTTTAAAGTTAGAGAAGTTAGAGAAGGTGCTGACAAGTAAATGACAGTTTAGAATTCATTGAGTTTGACTCCAGATTCTTAAAGTGCTAATGAATGACACATTTTTATTCATAATATTAAGAGACGAATTGTAATGTAAGAATTATTTGACAGTAAATGACTTTTTTTCTCGGTGTCTTGATGTTTTTCTCTGTTTGCATAGTTTCTCACAGCTAACCCTTCATTTTTTGTATTCTGACAAAAGATAATAGTTTTTGCTTGATACATACATAGCATATATACTTATAGTTTGTAATTATCTAAGTGCCTGATGGTATGCTGTAATTCACTAATATGTCAAATTGTAAATGTTGATTTCCCCCCCAGTTTCTATGTCTTGATTTCTAAGACCTTTTAAGTTTTACTCAAGTGAGGCTTTTTATAAGTAACCGTGAACTTTTGTATAAAAAAGATTTTGATTTAAATGTACATTTTTACCTTTGATTGTTTACACGTTATGTTAAACCAGAAATGGTAGAAAGGAATATTTTGTTTTTCTTACATTGATATTTATTTCATTTTTAGTTCTAGGTCTCGTTCCAGAACATATTCAAGATCTCGTAGTAGAGATCGTATTTATTCTAGAGATTATCGTCGAGATTACAGAAATAATAGAGGAATGAGACGACCTTATGGGTACAGAGGAAGGGGGAGAGGGTATTACCAAGGAGGAGGAGGTAGATATCATCGAGGTGGTTATAGACCTGTCTGGAATAGAAGGCACTCTAGGAGTCCCAGACGAGGCCGCTCACGGTCCAGGAGCCCGAAAAGAAGATCTGTGTCTTCTCAAAGATCCCGAAGCAGATCTCGTCGATCATACAGATCCTCCAGGTCTCCAAGATCATCATCTTCTCGCTCTTCATCCCCATATAGCAAATCTCCTGTCTCTAAAAGACGAGGGTCTCAGGAAAAACAAACCAAAAAAGCTGAAGGGGAGCCCCAAGAAGAGAGTCCTTTGAAAAGTAAATCACAAGAGGAACCGAAAGATACATTCGAACATGACCCATCTGAATCTATTGATGAGTTTAATAAGTCATCAGCCACATCTGGTGATATTTGGCCAGGCCTTTCGGCTTATGATAATAGTCCCAGATCACCCCATAGTCCTTCACCTATTGCTACACCCCCTAGTCAGAGTTCATCTTGCTCTGATGCTCCTATGCTCAGTACGGTCCACTCTGCAAAAAACACCCCTTCTCAGCATTCACATTCCATTCAGCAGAGTCCTGAAAGGTCTGGATCTGGTTCTGTGGGAAATGGATCTAGTAGATACAGTCCTTCTCAGAATAGTCCAATTCACCACATCTCTTCACGAAGAAGTCCTGCAAAGACAATCACACCGCAGAATGCTCCAAGAGAGGACTCCAGAGGACGTTCCTTTTTTCCTGACGGTGGAGATCAGGAAACTGCAAAGTCCGGGAAGTTCTTAAAAAGGTAAGAATTAGAGAATTCTGGTTATACTAATAGTTTTTGAATTCTGTTTGGAATTATAGGACTTAACCATGACATTATGATACATGTATGTTAATTAGCTGTTTATATTTCCTTTTTTATTAGAATTCCATATTGTTTTTATTTACCTAGTGAAATTTGGAAGTTAAATATAAATGACAAGTTGCAGAAAACATAAAGTTTAAAACAAAACTGAAAAAAACTGATATGAGAGCATTGAAACCTTATTGTTTTCATCATGAGAATGTAATATATGAAGTCATAATATTTGGAATTATAAAATGTTTTTAATATTTAGTAAGTTATGCCTGGACTATAGAAAAAATGGTGGCATTTCTCTAACATTTGAAGCATATATATATGTATATATATGTATATATTGGTAGGTAAGAAGTGAGTGAAATAGTCTGAAATCTAAAGTGTAATTAGAATTCGTATTAATTGACTTGTCTGCTAGCGGTTTGCAGCCTTAAAAGTTAAACTTAAGGCAGTGTCGTATGGAATTGCTATAGATGTTTGGTTTTGTTGGTGTAAATGTGTAGGCTGTGAGTAAACAGGATAGGTTTGAGAATGGCATTACTTTCTTAAACTAATGATCTGCAGTATATACAATTCAGAGTTACTATCGTCTTTGCTTTTTCGCAGGTTCACAGATGAAGAGTCTAGAGTATTCCTGCTTGATAGGAGTAATACCAGGGATAAAGAGGCTCCAAAGGAGAAAGGATCAGAAAAAGGGAGGGCAGAGGGAGAATGGGAAGATCAAGAAGCACTAGATTACTTCAGTGATAAAGAGTCTGGAAAGCAGAAGTTTAATGACTCAGAAGGGGATGATACAGAGGAGACGGAGGATTATAGACAGTTCAGGAAGTCGGTCCTTGCAGATCAGGGTAAAAATTTTGGTACTGCATCTCACCGGAATACTGAAGAGGAAGGATCTAAGTACAAGTCCAAAGTTTCACTGAAAGGCAATAGAGAAAGTGATGGATTTAGAGAAGAGAAAAATTACAAACTTAAAGAGACTGGATATGTAGTGGAAAGGCCTGGCACTGCAAAAGATAAACACAAGGAAGAAGACAAAAACTCTGAAAGGATAACAGTGAAGAAAGAAACTCAGTCACCTGAGCAGGTAAAGTCTGAAAAGCTGAAAGACCTCTTTGATTACAGTCCCCCTCTACATAAGAATCTTGATACACGAGAAAAGTCTACCTTCAGAGAGGAGAGCCCACTTAGGATCAAAATGATAGCCAGTGATTCTCATCGTCCTGAAGTCAAACTGAAAATGGCACCTGTTCCTCTTGATGATTCTAACAGGTAATTCTACATTGATGCCCAGTAAGTAGTCTGTGAATATCTAGTTAATATTCCATTTAATTATTTTTTAATGCACCATTTTCATATTGAAACCAATGCTATGTTTTGTTTGTGTGTTTGTTTGTTATTGATACATTTCAGACCTGCTTCCTTGACTAAAGACAGGCTACTTGCTAGTACACTTGTCCATTCTGTCAAGAAAGAACAAGAATTTCGATCCATCTTTGACCACATTAAATTGCCGCAGGCCAGCAAAAGCACTTCAGAGTCATTTATACAGCACGTTGTATCCTTGGTTCACCATGTTAAAGGTAGGATTAGAATGCTTCTTAAGTTTTGTGAGTTTAACACCTTTTGCATGCAAATAAAAAGAACAGTTACTCCATTGACAGCAAATATAGATCAGTACCATTAACAATTTGGAAAAATGTTTCTTGGTTGTGTTTCTTGAAGGGATTTTGATTGTCTAGCATGGAGATTCAGTGTTTTTTTTTTTTTTTTTTTTAAAGTGATTGAAATGCTGGAATTGCACATCCTGTAAATCTCTATCATGATTTAACATGATACAGATTTGTTGAATTTTCTTTAGAAATTGCTGAATAAGATTTAAAGTGCAAATGCTTACGGATGATCTTTCATTGCATGTCTGTGACTTAGCTAATATACGTTTGGCATAGATTTATAGAAAAATGAGTTAGTACCAAACATTATTTACAAAAATTTTTTCTTTCAGTGTTTGAAAGAAATCAGAACCAGTGAAACAGTTAACTTCCTATCTTCTTGTGTTATTTGTATATGACAGTTTTTAAAATTGTGATGAGTCAAAAAACTCTTGACTTTTTAAAGGGGAAAAATATTGAAGGAAGTTTTAAGTACATTAATGATAAATAGTGATTATAGGTAGTGGTATCTTGCCTAATTAGGGCAATAACAGTGATATTTCTTTAGGACCTAAAGATAGGGTGTTAATTTCAACTGAAGTAATTTCTGTTTCAACCAGTATATAATTCTTGTTTCCAGGTTACTGATATATTTTAAGGGTTTTAGGGCATGACTGTGGGCAATTAGATTTTTTGTGTTATAGTGAAAGCTTATTGATGAAACAGATTCTTTTATAGGAACTTCACAGGCTGTTGGTCATAAAAGATTTTCTTTTAATTTGTGTTTGAGGGCATGAGAATTCCTCATTATAATAGCTAAACCCTGTTAATAGCAGTTATTCAGTTTATTTTAGAACAATCTTCTTGATTGTCAGTTTATTTAAAACAATGAGTCTTCTTGATTGTGCTTAAACGTGGTAATCAGAATTTTGCTCTTTGACTTTATATTGCTTTATGAACCAGTTTATGCCTATAATATAGTGGTACATAAAATAAGAAACAAGTTTTTCTTTTTTTCACCATTTTTTTACTTGTCTCCACGCATCACAGTTTATTGCTGAATTTTTGAGGTACAGCTTTAATTTTTAAATTTTTTTCCTTTAAAAAATTTTTAAGACAACCTTAGTTATGTTTCATAAATCGTATTGTGCAGCCAGTCTGAACAGCTCTCACTTTATATAGAGCTGAAAATGCCCAGTGATGTTTTCTTTTTCATTGTAACTAGGTCCTGGAATATGTTTTGAAATGGCAAAATCCATGTTTCAAAGTAAATAGCTGTTGAAAGATACAGGCAAAGTTGAATCTTCTGTCTTCCTGGCAAAAATGGCATAAAAACTGAGTTGCTAGCTCAAATTCCTGGGTTTCATGGAATTATGATTGAGGCACTACCCTTGTAGTGGCCGTTTCAAGTTTTAATGATTGGTTATGAGACATGTGCTGGATTTTGGGCGGTAAGTTGACACAGATATATGTTGACCTGTTAAGCAGATAGCTTGCTTCATAATGTAACATTTCATAGTTCATGACTTTATATGTCTTCTGTTAGACATTTACAGCATATCTTGAACTGGTTTAAAAGCTGATCAGTATTTTACTAATTATAAAGTTGCTTAAAGACAACAATCAATACCAGATGTGCTATCAGGTTTGCCAAGATGCCAGAGTTTTAAATTAGCGACTGTTCATTGATTTAAAGATATTTTTTTAGTTGAATAATAGTATTCAGTTTTTTTTTAATTTTTAACGGCCATTTCTGTTGATAAACCAACATAATTGTCGAAGTAATTTTATTTACTCTATCTAGTTTTGCAGTTATGTTCATATTTTTTTTCCTGCAAATGAAACTTGGAAATTAACTTCATTGGTTCATATTGGCAAGGTACAAGGATATCCACATATTACTCCACATTGTTATTCTGTTTGAGGAAGTAGTGTATTAGTAGAGTGAGATTAGACTCTTGATTTAATTTACTGAGAAACTTTGTGATCATTTACTTATTGAGGTACAAGATGTTCAAAAAGAAGGGGTTAGAAGTTTTTGTTAAAAAAAAGTTTTTGTAACACTTCATTCTTTTCTGCTAGGTTGAGTATTCTTATTTTCTTTATACCTGCCACGTGCTCTTCTGTCACAAAAAATCTCTCTTAAAAATAAAGTTAACTAATTAGGCAGTGTTTCTCCTAAATCAACAGAACAGTACTTCAAATCACCTGCAGTGACCCTGAATGAGCGGTTTACTTCATATCAGAAAGCCACGGAAGAACACAGTACCCGGCAGAAGAGCCCTGAGATACACAGGTGTGTGTTGTAATGAACTGGCCTGTAATGCTGTTTTCATAGAAAGATACTGCTTAAATGTAATTACGTTTGAAGTATGTTATCATGAAAGAAATGTTTTAATTTCTCATTTAAGATTTTTAGTAGATAATGTAAGTATGCCAAAAGTACATGGGAAACTGGAATTGAAAGATGAATTATTTGTTAAAACATGTTTAAATCTATGTAGTTTTTCATAATATGCACTTCAGTAACTTTGTGAAAGACTGCATGTGTATAAATTTGAGGATTTTTGTACCAGAATGTTCTTTTCATTTCCCATGAGACTTAAATTATCCTTATGTTTTCAAGTCTTAAAAATATTATATAGTTGATACTTGGTTTAAGCTGCCTGGTAGAATTTAAAAATACTCTCAGCAATCCAGTGCAAAACTAAATAGTTGTATCAGTCATTTGATTTTTGGTGGCCAGGAGTGGATACATGGGCTGATCCTTGAATTTACTTCAGTGCAATAAAATTTACTTTAGTGCAATAAAAATTATTTGAGAAGTAAGAGCTGGTAAGAGTGTAAATGCAAAACTCAGAATTATGTTGAAACCTTAACTCTGTTACTTGCTTGTTTTGTGAAGAACAAATTGTTTGATCACTGGACATCTGCAAAAGAGGAATAATACCCACTTTGCTGTTTATGGAGTACCTGTTTCATTGATGTGGTTTTTATGGTGACTGCTGTAGGAAGTTAAGCAATGGCAACTAAAAATAGCTTAGAATGACAAGGAAAGGCACAAAATAAAATTGAGTATACATTGGATTTATGCAGATATGAAGATTAATTAGATTAATATTCATAATTGTGCTGATTGAGAGTTAATGCATTGTGTGATTTGCATTTAAAATAATAGACCAACATTTTTCTACTTTTGATATTTAAGGTAAGTTTAATGTTTTAAAAGATACGGGTTTAGTTTTCTGTGTAAAAAACATCTGGTAGTGAAAGCATATATATTTGTTGTGAATACAGTTCTTATTAATTGCTAGGAGTGAGGGATTCCTAATTGTTAGAAAAGAAATAACTATGGAATTGCATATGAAAGTGGGCAGTACTTTGAATCATAAAGTTAATGATCTGACTCAAACATGCTTTATTTTATCCTAAGGAGAATTGACATCTCTCCAAGTGCCCTGAGGAAGCATACCCGTTTAGCAGGGGAAGAGAGAGTTTTTAAGGAAGAAAATCAAAAGGTATGTTTTTGAATGTGATGTGATGTGTGTTAGGTGGGGAGGGGTTTAGTTAATGGAATGTTTAAGACAAAATGTTTACAGGTGGTATATATTTTAAGCTTGTAAATAATATACGGTAGGGTTTGTACTATTCGTTTGTAGAAATTAGGTTGGTACTATGCTGAAAGTTAAAATTACAAGTACTTTTTGGAAAATGTTAATGAAAGGAAAAACACTAGTTCTGAGTGTTAAGGTTAAAGAATCAGTGGCTAAACAAAGGAAAATTACAAAGCTGAATACAAGGTATGGTTTCTAAAATGTTTTGAAGTATGACGGATAAGCAAGAAGAACTACTACTTGATTTGTGTGTGCCTAAATTTTCATCTTTAGATGCTTAGAGATAAAATAATTCCCATGGTAGTGAGCGTTTGTTAATGTGGATTAAGAAATAAGCATTCTAAGAATTGATTTGTATGTGAACAGTTGGAATGAGTATTGTTTGTCACTTCACACATCTGGATTTTGGGGGGGAATGAATTTACAGGTGTTAAGGGAGGTTAGGAGAGAGATCCAGTGGTGAAGGGGAGTCTGATGCACTTTGATCATTTAAAACTGACTTCTGCTTGATAAATTAGCATGTTTGATGGGCCGAAAAGTCTCTACTAGAAACATGGGGAGAGGTGGAAAGGGAGCAGCTGTTGTTTGGACAAGGTTAGGGAACTTGGAAGTATCACTTTGCTCCTGTTCTGGCTGTCACCAAGTCCTATCTGTTTGATGTGTGGAACATGATTAGCTTCTGACCTTAGTTTTCTAGTTAGGAAAATGAAAATACATACGCTTGTGGAGTTGTTGAGTGATCTGCTTTGTCATAATGTTGGTAAACTTATTGGAAGTTGTCAGTGACAGTGATAATACACAGATTGTTTAATAGGAAGTAATTAGCTTCACCTGAATGTGAAAACTAGTGCTTAGCAAAGAAAGTAGCTTTTTTGCCTTGAGGCATATAGAAACTGGAAAAACAGATTCCGATGTTGAATGTTTTCTGGCTTTTAACCACAATCACGGTGGCTTCATTGTTGGCAAATTATTTTTTAACAGTCTGTCTTTATGCTCTGATGGTACCTTGCTTCTCTCCTCATTCCTTAGACCAAAGTTTAATCGAGAGGAGGGCGTAGTGTTGATGGATGGGCTTTTATCCTTCATAATCTTATCTGAATAATACATGTTAGTATGTGATTAATATATAGAGAGGCAGAGAACAACTTCAAGGTCAGTTCTTTTAATTATTACTTGTGGTCTTGAGAACACCTAGTTGAACAGGAAGTATTTTGCTTTGATGAGATTTTTTCTTACGTTGGGAGTAATTAGGTCAGTAGTTAATACATTTGGAGTTACATACTTTGAGTATTATGAATGTTTACAAATATTGTAGCTTAAATTTCCCAGAGATATTTCTTTTTGTTGAATACTAGCAAGGATGTCCACGTTGCTTAGCATCTATACTGATGTATAATTTCTCTTCATTCCTAGATGCCTCTTTCCATCTTCCTTAATTATATAGTATTTGAAAAAAACAATGGAACAAGAAGGAGGTGAATTGTGACCCAGTTAAACTAATGCCTGTTGCAATACCTGAATTGAGAAAGGGCAGTATATGGCCCAAGATACTGAGTACAGGATTGCGAATAATATCTTTCTGGCTTTGTTTCAACCCTTATTCAACCTCGATTGGTTTTATTAATTATGTTTACTTGCATGTTATAGAAGTTATAGATTCTTGTTTTAAAAGATTTTTTTTTATTTTGGGTTGGTCGACTTCTTTGGGAAGAGATTGATTATGAGGCTTTTGTTTATTTCAGGATCCCTTAACTTTACAAGCAGAAGACTGTATCAAACTGTCATTCAAATTTGAGGGATAATGATATGTAATGAATAGAAAATATTTGTGTTTTTTTGGCATATAAAAGTTTATCGATTACTTTGAATAGAGCACTGAAACTTTCAAGATGTTTTTAATAACTTGGATCTCATTGCACTTTTGTACATAAATATTTAGTAAAAATAGTTAAGTACATTTTTAAATAAAGAGTATAATGTTCATATTATATTATAGGGTCAGATCTTTTCTGATACTGAGAAGCCCATGTAACTATTGGTATAAAATTTGTTTTCATATATATTTGTGTGTATGTCTGTGTGTATTATGTTTGTGTATTTATTTCTTTCCTAAATTCTGTATTTTCTTTCTCCATAATAGGGAGACAAAAAATTAAGATGTGATTCTGCTGATCTTCGACATGACATTGATCGGCGTAGAAAAGAAAGAAGTAAAGAACGGGGGGATTCCAAGGGCTCCAGGGAATCCAGTGGATCAAGAAAGCAGGAGAAAACTCCAAAAGATTACAAAGAATACAAATCTTACAAAGATGACAGGTAATTGTTAAAAAATGAATAAGTTAGGTTTTAGCTTCTAATTAGCCTTTAATAATTGTCAGCTTAATTGCTTTCAATTTTGACTTGTGTAATCAAATGTTTAAATTTAAACAATTAAAATTATTTGTTTTACAGCAAAAATGTATTTGTCTTTTACACGGCTTATGGTGGATGAGGACAAAAACTTTGGAATAGCAAGCTAACACTGAAAAAAAAAAATGACAAATTAATGTGTCCTATTATCCAGGCTACATCAGGAGGTTGGACTTCAATGCAGTGCATTTCTAGAAACAGTTTGTGTAAGAACTTTGGTTCGTTATGCTTGATTCCGCACTTTTTCAACTCATAACACCCAGAGTACAAGAGTTTTGAAATGATGTGTAGTGGTTTAACATGGGACAGCTGGGTGGGGAGGAAGGACTAGAAATAGCAATGTGTATTAGTCTTTCAAAATAATGTTTCCATGGATACTGTTAGCAGTGGTAAGAATTAACCGAAGGTATGATCTTGGGTGTTGGTTAGAGTCATGTAAATTTGATCATCGTAGAGTCAAATAATAGGACTGCAAACTACTGTAGGCAATTGTTTCTCTTTGCTGTTCATTAGGTAAATGGTGGATTTTACTTATGTGTTTAATTTATGAGTGGTATTTGTAATGTCATGTTTTTTATTTCCATAATGGTGTTATGGCCCATACCATACCAACTGTTCTCACTCAGGGTATACAAACTAGTCATTGTGAAAGCCTTATGAACATTTGTTTTTCTTCCATCATAATAACAAGATAAGTTAATAAAGATTGACGAACTGAACCTTACTCTGAAATTGACATGCTACTAGTTTCTACTTGGCAGGCCATAACAAATTTTAGCGATGTAAAACAAGTATTGAAGGAGAATGGAAACGGATTCTGTTTCCTGCCCTTTATTTTGGTTATGTAATTTTAATAGGGGATAGCTTTTTTTTTTTTAACTTAAAAATATCCCTCTTATTGTAAAAGTCAGTGAGGTCTTTGTCTTATTAAAAGTAGTACATCCTGTGTTTTCTTTGTTTTCTTTATTTTGCAGCAAACGTAAAAGCAGAGAGCAAGATCATTCTCGATCTTCATCATCTTCAGCGTCACCTTCTTCTCCCAGTTCTCGAGAAGAAAAGGAAAGTAAGAAGGAAAGAGAAGAAGAATTTAAAACTCATCATGAACTGAAAGAATACTCAGGCTTTTCAGGAGTTGGCAGACCACGAGGAACTTTTGTAAGTAATACATCTGTCTTTCATAGTTTGATAGGAGTTTCCCTAAGAATAGTATATATAAGGAAAGCCAAGTACATAGATTATCAGGCATGAGTCTCTTACAGTTAATCTTGAAAAAGTAAAGTAGTATGTGAAGTATTCATTAATAATCCACGTTTTGTTATCTATAGAACCATCTATATAAGCTAGGTAACAACTCAACTTGGAGATCAATATTTGAAGTACTTGAAGATCCAAGAATCAGGAAAAGTTACTGATTGTGGTCCATTTATCTGATCACTTAGATGCCAAAACATTTTCTTCACTAATTCTGGGTTCAGATTCCTACATTGAGGGAATACCCTAGCTGAATATTGGCAGGATGAACTAATTAGAGCAATTAGGAAAGAATTTTTTGTTTTTGCATGATAGGTTTTGTTGAAGGCTTGGCTCAAAAGGAATTTTCAGATTAGCTTCTTTTGCTAGTGAAAGTGGGGAAGGGAACCATTAATGTAAAATTATTAGGGTAGGCCATGAAACCCTGTGTTGTAACACTTAGGTTGATTGTTCATTTTTTAATACACTTAAGTTTGAGTAGGTAGAATTTTTGCCTGTGGTATAAAATGGTCATCCTTTCCATCCCCAGTGGCTATGAAGTTTGAGTTTGGTTAGGAAATTAGGGCATTTGTTTTTTGTTACTGCAGTAAAATTAGAGTTTGCATGTAACTAAATGCCTTTTGATTGCACTACTAAACAACTTTGTTAATGTTAATCAGTTTCGAATTAGAGGCAGAGGAAGAGCCAGAGGAGTTTTTGCTGGGACAAATACTGGTCCAAACAACTCAAATACTACTTTTCAAAAGAGACCGAAGGAAGAGGAATGGGATCCAGAATATACCCCAAAGAGCAAGAAGTACTTCTTGGTGGGTGTTAGAAATCTGTGTTTATTTGGTTTGCATTAATTTTGAAGCATACTTAGGTGGATACATTTGAGTACAGATATTCACTGTAAGATTTCACCATCATGCAGGAGACCATTTAAAGATTTCATTTTGAAGTTTTGAAAATGTTGGTCCCTTTAGTACTGGTTATGGTTTTTTGATATGACATAATCAGATTGAGCTAGAAATATACCTCATTTGATAGCCACATTCGGAGAAGAATTTCGTAGTTGAGCCTATAAAAACTTCTTAATTAAGGTATGCTTTCCAGCATGACAGTTGTTAAATGCAAGATACAAAGAATTCTTTGATCACATTTGCAGTTAACTGAGGATCTCAGTGAGGCCATCAGTGTTTGTTGTAGTAAAATGAAGATGAAAATTGTTACCAAAAATTACTGGATATTGATTAATGCTTTTTTATGATAGCTGTTTCCATCTGAAGTAGTCATCCAAAGATGAGGCTGTATTTGGTGGATTCTGACGGATTCTTGAGAGAAAGATGCTAATTTTTTCAGTTTGCACTGGGAAAAAGGTTCTATTTTGGATAGTAATGTCACATTTAAGAAAATACCACAAGTATTCCCAGAGGAATTCATGTTGGTCAGAGTCTGAGGGAAATGAGGGTCCAGAGACTAGCTTGGAGAAGAGTTGTTTTGTGGAGGTAGTATGAGACTTAGAGCGTTATCTCTTCGTTTGAATTATAAATTTGAATAAGCTTGAATCTTTAGGATATACCAGAACTGTATTTTGAAGTGAATCTGTTTTGAGAAAACAAATGAGATTCATTTAAAAGAATAATATTCATTTTCCTCTTTGGTATGTTAATGGCCAAGATTTCAAAAAAGTTTCGTAAGTTTTTATGGAGTATGTGATACAGAATGTTTGCTTCTTACGTGTTTCCCCAGTGAGGTAGTCTTCTCTGAGTCATTTGAGCTGACAGTTTTAAAGTAAAGGGCATTTGATTCAGTTAGAAAAAAACAAAAATTTTTGTCTGCTGTTGAGTTTATACCCAACAGCCGTTTGTGCTTGGCACTAGGGATGGAAAGGCAAGTAGAAATATTTTAATCCTTGGAGAATAGTAATACAGAAACATTCCAAGTGTACAGGGAATCTTAAAAATGTTAATAGGAGATGTCTACTATGAAAAATAATATATATGATTGCAACTTGTTTTGCCACCAAATTATCTTTTTCAAAGAATGATTTTTCTTCTTGGTTTTTAAAAAATTACTCTTGTGAAACAAAGAAGAGTGATTAGGTGTGACTTTGTAGAGAAACTTGGGGGTTTCATTGTTGAGATTTAAAATGGGCAGAGGTGCTACAACCAGCAGGGTATTGTGTTTTAAGCAGTTTAGGGTAAACATGGTTGCTGGAAGGTTTGAAGGATATTAAATGCCTTGGTAAAGGAGCTAGATTTGTTTTATGTTACTAATGAGCGTGTAACATTTAAGGGAATGAATTACATACAGATCATGGAGTTGGCTGTGAGTGGTAGGAGGAGGAAATACTGCAAAGATAGGGAATTTGAAGGGAGGAAAAAATCCTCCTGAGAAGACTTGTTTATCAGGACATGGTAAAAGTGCTGCATCAGTAGGCCAAATGTGGAAGTCAGGAAGGAGTGAAAGTTGAACAGATACTCATTGGTTAGAATTCTGGCATTTTTCAAAGTCTGATGTGATTATTATCCAAAATTGATACATAAGCTTGTAGGTTGGTTTATAGTTAGTTTTGTTAAGTGTATCTTTTTTGTTTGTTTTTATGATTTATTTTTGTTGGAAAGGCAGATTTACAAAGAAGAAAAACAGAAAAATATTTCATCGGCTGGTTTGCTCCACAAATAGCTGCAGCTGAGCCAATAGGAAAGCAGGAGCCTCTTCCGAGTCTCCCGTGTGGGTGCAGAATCCTAAGGTCTTGAGAGGATAGCAGCTGGGACATGAACAGATATGGGGTGCAAGCCCTTGGAAATTGAGAATTAACCAAGTGAGGCATCTTGCTAGTGCCCATAGTATATTTAAAAAGAAAAACAGATTGTAGCTATGTACAGCTTTTCTGGCTATTTTTGGATCTCTGAAAAATATATTTGTCACTAATATTCATTAGAATAATATCAAATAAACTGAGGAGGAGGAATGGAAATTTTTATGGAAAGAGCACATTCTTGTAATTGCAATTTTCATGGATCTTTTGAAGCCTTAATTGAAACGGCAGCTTTGGCTTTTACATGAATATCTTATGAATACTATAACCTTACAGACATCTGATGCCAATAGTAAAAATACAAGCAAAAATATTATGCAGAACAAATTAAGGTTGACATCTTTAGGTTGTTGCAGAATAATTGACCAGCATAGAAAATTTGTTGATGAAACACTAGTAATCGATAGATAACATATAGTAAATATTATATACTGTGGTAGATGCTGTCATCCTAAATTTTTTTTTACATACATTAATTCTTACAAAATCCTTGCAAATTGTGTATATTCTCTTTTTACAGATGAAAACAGATAACAGAGGTTGAATAGTTTTTGCATGTTTAGTTAGGAATGGGGTCAATATTTGAATGTATGAATTGGGCTCCAGGGCCAGAAAAAATTCTAGGAGGGGAAAATGATTCAAGATCAGAGTTTTGTTAACTCTGATTTAATTTTGTGGGGAAGAGATAAAGGCAATGATTCAGAAAATCTTTGTTCTAATGTTGACTCCTTTGTCAACATAATTTTGGCTGTGTAGAAGCATCTAACTTAAAACCCTTTATCATCTGTAAAAAGACTATATACTGATGAGGTTTAAAGGCTGGATGTAAAAATGTGATTATTTTCAATATGTTTAGCATCAAAAATCTCATTACTTGGGTGGTTGTCAGGACACCCTTTACAAGTGAAATGTAGTCTCAGTTGCTGTTTTTCTTTTTCCTTTTTTTTTAAGATTTGTGTTTTTTTTTTTTTTTTTTTTTTTGAAAGGCAGAGTAAAAGCAGGAGAGAGTTGATCTTGGCATACGCCAATTCACTCCTGAAAAGATCACAAAAAGAGGCCTGGTGCAGTGGCTCATTGGCTAAAATCCTGGCATTGAAAGCCAGGGTGTCCCAATGGTTGTCAGTTCATGTCCTGGCTGCTCCAGTCCCTATTCAGCTCTCTGCTTGTGGCTTGGAAAAGCAGTCAAGGATGACCCAAAGCCTTGGGACCCTGCACCCGTGTGGGAGACCCAGAAGAGGATCCTAGCTTCGGATGGGCTCCACTCTGGTTGGGCTCAGCTTCGGTTGTTGGGGCCACTTGGGGAATGAACCAGAAGATGGAAGATCTTTCTGTCTTTCCTCCTCTTTAAATCTGGCTTTCCAATGCAAAAAAGTCTTTATGAAAAAAAATATGGCTACAAGAGGCTGGACTGGGACTAGCTGAAGCCAGGAACTTATTTCAGGTCCCCTAGATGGGTAGGACGCCCTAAGGACTTGGGTCATCTTCCACTTTCTCATGTGCATTAGTCGGGAACTGGATTCTAAGTAGAACAGCCAGGAATCAAACCATTGCCCATATAGGATTGTAGTGTCCACTTGACATCACAGTGCCAGCTTTTGCTGTATTTCCTGAGTTTTGGGTGAGACTGTGTGAGGAATCTTGCCTCAGAAAGATCATGGAGGAGCTGGTTTTTATGGCATAGTGGGTTTAGCCGCCACCTGCAACACTGGCAAATAGCTTTGTTATGGCCTTTTAAATTTCTCTTAGCTGCTTTGTGTGGTAATTACTACCGTCATGATGTCTGTATCCTGTGGATAATGCTCATATAGGCTCTTGATTTCTCTCTCCCATGATTTCTAAAAATGGTGAGAGTAGATATGCTTTATAGAGCTATTGTGATTAATTATATGTAAAGTGCTTGGAATAGTGACCACACACAGTAAGTGGTATAGAAACATTCTTGCCTGTCACACACAAGACCAGGAACTTTTAATCTATATCTGGTGGTCCTGTCCATTTGAAAATGAGGAAATAATTTCTCAGGTTGACCGAAGTCACAGTTTCTGTTAGAAGTGAATCCCATACTTGATTCTAAAATACCACAAACAAGAGTCTAGAGTTGAGTGTGTTAATGTCACTAAGGAACATGAAATGTCACTGAACAAGAATCCTTTTGAATGACAGACTGCTTTAAAGATTATTTAAACCTCTGTAGTTAAGTTTATGCTTTTCATAGTTCCAACGTTCATTCTTTATGTAGTTATGCACACTTCTATCTACAGTTTTCTTCCCCCCTCTAAGATTTTAGTTAATTTGTTTGAGATAATTATACCTGATCTTCTGTGTACTGGGGCACTCCCCAGATGGGCACAGCAGCTGGGCCTGGGCCAAGCCAAAGCCAGCATGTGGATCTCCCATGTAGGTAATGGGACCCCAACAGTTGGGCCATCTGCTACTGCTTTCTTAGGTGCAGTAGCACAGGGAACTTGATCCAAAGTGATGTAGCTGGGACACCAGCCAGTCTTCAGATGGGATGCCAGCCTCATGTGCCACAACATTAATCCCACCTAGTAAAAATAGATTATTAGCAGTTACTAGGTACTCTGAATAATATGTCCTGCTTCAGTCATGCAGGAAGGCTATCTGTATTAAATATGCGTACAAGGAATTCTGTGTTTTGAAAAATATACTTGTCATATTTTTAAAGAGTTTTGTGTGATCTTTAGCTGAAGACCAATATGCCATAGGTTGTAGGATGCTCTCTTTGTGTTAATGCATGTTTTCTTGTAAAAAGGCATCATTTTGCCCCTTTTTTAAAATACAATTTCTTTGAGTTAAATATAGCTAGATAGCAGTTAATCAACATGCAAGATAGTTTTGGCCTTTAAGTTTTTTGTTTTGTAGTGTGTTACACATTTATCTATAAAATCAAGTACTTTTCACTATTGCACTTTAATTAATTGAACAATTTGTAATTTGAGCAACATGTATATTTGAATATATGTTTAAAAAATAAGGTTAGAGTATGATAACCAGTAGTTCCATGTGGTAAAGGGCTGAGGTGTTACTCTGAGTACCATGTCATCATAGCCTACAATATTGATGTGAATTATATGTTGCTCTAGATTTAAAGCATAATAGGATTTTAAAATCTGGTAAGATACAAATCATGCCACCTATTTTATCTATGGCATGTTATATATCATAATAATAATCACTTATTGTCATGTCTTTATGAGTAAGGTATTTTTATTGGGACAGGATGATTGCTCAGTCTGACCCAGAGCAGCATAATATGTCTACTCAGATTGAAATAATAGTGGAAAGGAAAACGTCTGAAAATATGTGGTAATTTAACAGTTGCTATTCTTGGAATGATTGGGTAACCTTTGGTGCATGATTTACTCAATAGTAGTTTGCAATTATTTTTGACTAGAATGTGTTTTTGTTGTGAAATTCATTCTTACTGGTTTTCTAACATTACCCGTAAAGTCTTGGGAGGATTAATGGCATGGTTTACTAGATATGGAGAAGCAATGATTTTCTTTACAAGACACTTCATTGATGACTGTTTCTATCCTTTCTATAGCATGATGATAGAGATGATGGTGTGGATTATTGGGCCAAAAGAGGAAGAGGTCGTGGTACTTTTCAGCGTGGCCGAGGGCGCTTTAACTTCAAAAAATCAGGTAGCAGTCCAAAGTGGACTCATGACAAATACCAAGGGGATGGGATTGTTGAAGATGAAGAAGAGACCATGGAGAACAGTGAAGAAAAAAAGGACAGACGCAAGGAGGAAAAGGTAGGAGATTTCATCTTGCGATTGACAACTTTCTTGGTGTAGGTTTGATGGGTGATTGTGCTGCTGATGCTTCGTTGACTGCCAACATTCATTAATTTAACTTTTTCTTTGTTTTTTAGGAATAGGGAATGTGAAGTAAGATTGCAACAGACAGCAGAACTTGCACCCACCAATTTTTTTTTACCTGAGTTTTTGTTTTCAAATAAGAATGTAAGCATTTTACTTAAATTTTACTGTTTGCAAGTAGTCTGTAGAAATTTTGTTTTAAGTCTTCAAATATCTTGAAAATAGTAGACTGTATGTTGAAAATTGTACTGAAATAAAGTAGAAAATTGTTACGTACCATATTTGTAACTATCAACTTTTAAAAGAAACTTTTACTGTTTTTGTTACATGCATTGTAACTGCTTTGTCTATAAGATATGGTCAAGTACAATTCTGTGAAAGTTCTGATTCTCTTCCCTCCCTGTTAATGTTTAATTCTGAAGTAAACGTTAGCGCTACATACAAATCCCTGAAGAAATTGTTTATAGCGACCACACTAATTAACAGTATGCATCTGTTAACATCTTTATTTAAACACACTACGTTGTAGGGTGACTGATTTTTGAAGTATACCACAGAAAAAGTTGCTACTTTGGTAAACTAAAGCTATTTTAACACTTTAGCAAGTGTTTAAGTGGGGGGAAAGCTTTGCCAATAGCTAGAACGTACAGAATAGTGAAAATTACGTTGGAAAATGTTTGAGAAAATGTTATTTTTACTGCAAACAGGCAGTGGCCTTTAAAACAAACATTTTTGGGAAATTTCCTATTTGGATGCAAAGGTCAGTGTTCTTTTTGTTCATTCTTGATGGTTTGAGTCATGGTGATAAGTGTCAGCTGTTTGAGAAAATTGATTTATAGTAATACTGCAAGTAAAAATGCTAGCACAACTGAACATCATAACAAAAACCAGAACAAACCCTGTAATCCTGGTATTGGTATGGAGTATTCTTCAGAACAATTTGGCACATTAGAATCTGATATCTTTTATATTTATTTGAGCTTTTGGATAGCTGAAAATATTGACTTTTGTAGTATAACCATAAGAAAAAACAAACAATCCATAGTTCTTTAGTAATTGAAGTTTCTTCTTTTTATCACCAATAAAAGATTCTGGCAGGCAGTTCTTTGTGTTAATTTAGTTATTAATATTTTCCCATTTTAGTTGCCATTTGTAAATTGGCATTTTTCTTTTTTCTTTCCAACGGTTGTCAGGTAGAATCTCTTTTAAAAAAAAATCAAATACAAGTTACCCTTTATGTTTATATTGGTGGCTGTCAAAAGGACTGAAAATTGGAACCATAAAATTCACTGTTGTCTTTTTAGAGAAAATAGAGGAAATACATAAGTAACCACATTACATTTGTTAATTCAGCAACTGAATTAGTTGTATGTATTAGCATTTAAAGGAAAGATAATGCTTATTTGTGACTGTTTAAACATGTTTAAGCAAATGATTCATGTATGAATATGTCTCCAGCACCTTGATTACAGCGAGAAACATTGCTGAGTTAATGGAACTAAAATGAAACCAAAATAAGTATGTGTGGTATTTTATGAATTAAGATTCTTACTGCTTGGTTGTCCCCCATTAATTTTATGTTTCTAAAGTTGTTGATTGAAGCCAAGGAAGTAACCTGCCAAAGAAAGTATGTGTTGCATCAATCAGGACATAACTAACTCTTACTCAGAATACTACTTACTTATATGTTAAAGCAAGGTGAATTTTATCCTCCAAAACAGAATTTTCATGACCATTTTGTATACCAATAAACAGCTTTTAACAGCTACTATTGAATTTAAACCCTGCATCTCTGCATGAACATAATGTGTAGTTTCATGTTTCCAGTTAAGATCTTACGACAAGGGATTTGCTCATATATTACTTAAGGAGATGAGGAAGAAGTTACTTTGATTCTATGAGCAGATTTATATTTTAATTATAAATGTGTTGCTTTAACATTTGTTCCTTTTTAGTTCTCTTAAAATGAAAGAATATTCTAGCAGAATATGGTAAAACAAGGATGGTTGTAAGAAGTCTTAAGAAAGCCATTATGGATGTTACGTTTTTCAGAATCAAACAGAAAGTAGTGTGTATTTTTTAAAACTACAATTTAATTCCACACATTATGACATGGTTCTCCTGATAAAGATATTTGTAAGTGCCAGGATATAACTGACGCCTGTATTGATTTCTTTTTGCCCAGAAACGGGAAATAAAAATGAACCGAAGTATATTTCCATAAAGGGTTAAGAAAGCCATTTAAGATGGCCATGACTCAGTTCTTAGGCGTGTGTATTCTCAACACCCCTAGGAATTTTAATGTAGAAAGTAAAATGCTTTTCCAGCTGCAGTCTACTTCAAGGAGTTGCTGTTGTTCCCTCTGCCACGATTACGATCAATGTTGGGAATTATAATTTGAGGGAAAAAGATTATCCATTCAGAAGAAATGTAGACGATTAAAGGATTCTAACCATGTAATGTTCCATTTAACAGGGACCCTTGTACATTGTCATATGCCAATAAAATGTCCTGAGTGGTAATAGCTGTGGTTTGTTTACCTGGTTTTGACATTTATGTCCATTATACACAGTAGATTTCCATGGCTCTTTTCTGGGTTTTAGAATATGGAACGTAGTGTGGCTTGATAAATACTTGATAGAATTCTACAAAAACTCTCTACTGAGTTGTCTGGTTTCCCTGGGGAAAATGAGAAATTTTACAGATGGTTAAGTTCTAAGCCATTCTGAAAAATACAGAAATGCTGGATACTGTCCCCTTGTGCCTGTTTTAATATTGGGGTTTGTCAACCATAACTTCAGAGTGGAAACTTTCTAAAAGTAAGAGATAATTTGCAAATGCTTACATTAGTCTTTTCACTTGGAATGAGATCTGTATTACATATTACCTAAAATACACAATGTGCCATTCTAAAGTGTTTTTTAATTGGAAAGGTAGATTTACGGAGAAGAGGAGAGACAGGAAGATGATCTGTCCACTGGTTCAGTCCCCAAGTGGTCACAATGGTTGAGGCTGAGCTGATGTGAAGCCAAGAGCTGGGAGCTTCTTCCCGGTTTCCCATGTGGATGCAGGTTCCCAACGCTTTTGAGGCCCATTCTTTACAACTTTCCCAGGCCACAGGCAGGGAGCTGGATGGGAACTGGGGCAGCTGGGATATGAACTGGTGCCCTTATGGGATACCCAGTGCCTACATGGCAGGTTTTCACCACTAGGGCATGGTGCTGGGTGAGACATTCTCAACTTTTAATTAAACGTTTTCTTGGACATTTGTGTGCTAAGTCAAATGGATATACCTTATTCAGGAATGGTAGATTACAGTCTCTTGCCAGGGAAATGAAACTGTGTATATGAAAGGATGTGTAAGATCATTGGTTGTTATACTGGGTAGTCTTATTGTTATATGTATCCTTTTATAAATTGGAAAGATCTGCAGAGAGGAGGAGACGGAGAGGAAGATCTAACATACGATGGTTGACTCTAAGTGGCCACAATGGCCGCCGGAGCTCTGCCTATCCGAAGCCAGGAGCCTGGAGCCTTTTCTGGATTTCCCATGTGGGTGCAGGGTTCCAGGGCTTTGGGCCATCCTCGACTGCTTTCCCAGGCCATAGGCAGGGAACTGGATGGAAAGCTGATGAGATTAGGACTGGCGCCCATATGGTATCCCAGTGCCTGTAAGGAGTGAACTTTAGCCACCAGGCTACTGTGCTGGGCCCAAAAATGTTTCTGTTGTTGACGTTTATGTAGCTTTTTTCTTGAGTTTCTGCTTGGATCTCCTGGGATATAAGTATAACAAGGTTACATGTGAAACAGTATTTCACGTTCTGGAAGAGAAGCATGGGAACAGTGTGTGTGTGTGTGTGTGTGTGTGTGTGTGTGTGTGTGTGTGTGTGTGTGTGATATTGGAAGGGCAAATTACGAAAAGCATGTCATGGGATTTTCCTGAATATTACATATTGATACACGCTTTAATAAAATTTTGAGTAATGCCTGTTATGTTTATGGTTCTCAGGAATTTTTTTTCTTTTGAAAATTTCTTTTAATTGATGTTTACATAGTCTCAGGGAGGGAAGGATCTAGGGTTAGGGAGAAGTGGGTGTGATCATTGTTTCCATGCTTTCTATTTCTTCCCATTTCTGTGGAGAGGCGAGAGATGGGGGATAGGCCATACCCAACCTTCCAACCATTCTAGTACTTGAGGATGGGACAGGCCATCTGAAAGCAACATGGTGTCCCAATGGCGCATGTTCCAGAGCTTCTGCCTAGGTGGATGGGTAGTTTGAAAATGCTGTTGGTCTCGCCTATCTGTGGAAGAAGAATCCCTTCCAATGTCCGTTGGCTGGGGAGTTGTGCATATGTCACCGTTGACCTTAGAGTCTCCAGTCACACAGATATTTGCTGTCATTTGGCTGGAGAAGTTGTGCATGTGTCAGAATATTGTTCAGTGTGCATTTCTAAAGTGATTTTATTGAAGGAGCTGTTGAAACAAGGTTTTTACTGAATTCTTTGGAAATTAATTGATACAGTCAATCATTTGAAGATTCTTACTGAACTCCTGTGTTGCAGAAACACAGCTATAATTAGAGCATTATGAGTTATGTACTGAATCCAAAACCACATTTGACTGGGAGTGCTAGTTCTGCAATGTTGTAACATGTTTGAAAAAAAATACTCATTGTGACAGTACCTATCACTACAAGAAAGAAATAATTGTGTCTTAACATAGGGAAAATATTTTCCAGGGATGTTTTCGGTCTTTTACAACAATGAACGGATTTGAGGCACTTTTTTTTTTTTGATTATTTATGACACAGTTTAATAGGAATTGGGGTTTTTCCCTCTCCCCCATTGTTCTTTGCAGTTTTTCAGTCGGTGTCTTTCGAGTACCCTCACAAAGAGATGTCTCCCAACAATGTAGTGACTAATCTGTTGTTTTCATTCTGAGACCATTCTTGCATTGCAAGTACGGGCATATACTTCTCTCTTTATGCCCATGGACATATTCATTTCCATTGCGCTCCCATTATACCTCCCCTTAGGTACAGTTCCACCATGGGTTGAGAAGAAAAAAAAAATAGTACTCAGCTCCATCATGATGTTGAACTTGTAGCAGGGGTATCAGTGTGATGCTAGAGTGATGCAAAAGAGTGTCCAGTATAGTGTCCAGTATCTTCCTGCAGAAATTAATGCTAGTGTATGACCCATGTGATTTAAATGGGAATACAGTATGGACTACATCATCGTTACCCATGTAGAAGTAGTAGTAACAGTAGAAACAGTGATCTAACAGCGATATTAATCTCAGGTGATCACAAGCAGTCATGAATTATTAATAGGTTACATCACAAGAGCTTATTACGTATGATAACAGCTAGGAAAGATAAGCTAGGATAAGATACAATTTAAAGCAGCAGTTTCTATATTTGACATATTAAGGCAAACATGATATCTGACCCTTTAGGATTGGCTCATTTATTTTAGCATAATGGTTTCCAGTTGGGCCCATTTGTCCACGAAGAAGTGTATTTCATTTTTTTAAATAGCTGAGTAGTATTCCGTTGAGTAGATAAACCATGGTTTCCTCATCCAGTCTTCTGTTGGTGAGCATTTTGGTTGCTTCCATGTTTCTGCAATTGTTGATAGTGCTGCTGTGTACATATGGGTGCATGTTGCTTTCTCATGTAACAGGTCTGTTGGATATATTCCTAGAAGTGGGGTTGCTGGGTCATATGGTAGGTAGATTTTCAGATGCCCGAGTATTCTCCATACTGATTTCCATAGAGGCTGCACCAACTTGCAATTCCATCAACAGTGGAGTAGGATTCCTTTTCCCCTGCATCCTTGCCAGCAAATGTTGGTTTTCTGTATTTGGGCCATTCTTACTGGAGTTCAGTAGTATATCAGTGATGTTTTTATTTGAATTTCCCTTACTACTAGGGAGCTTAAGTGTTTTTTCATATGTCTGTTAGCCATTTGGATTTGTTCCTTTGTAAAGTGTCCATTTCCCGGAGGCAGTTATTTTTATTGTTGCTGTTTGTTTATTACAGTTTTATAGCTATAGGAATTAACTTCTGTTCTCCTTCCTCCTTAGTGCTCCCCTGCTATTCCCCAAATTATCAGTACTGTAGTGTTAGTAATAGCAGACTAACTTTGTTATTTGTTTCCCCAAATCATACTGTATAGATATAGTTATGTGTTTCAAAATGGAGCTCTTTTATTCATGTACATTTGAAATGCAGATAACAGTGTTTTTCTTTAGGAAATATATTTGAGCAGCCACACTCCCATCTGCTGGTTTATTCCTAAGAAACCTGCAATGACTTGGGTTGGAGTGGGCCAAAGCCAAGAATTTGAGATTTCCCCTGTGGGTGGCAAAGATTTAATGATTTGAGCCTGTGTCAGCGCCTGTCAGGGCTGTATTAGCTCTAGTCAGGAGCTAGTGGTTGAACATGAAAGTACTAATAATGTGGGATACTGGTATCCTAATCAGTAAACAGGCCCAATACCTGGCCCATATATCCTTTTTTTAAATGTCAAAACTCAAAAGACTTCCAGGATTTGATTAAGTTGTCAGTTAATGTTACTCTTAGTTCTAGAATACAGTTTCCCAAATGAGTGTTGTGATTTATTTTTTTTAACAGACCAAGGACATACTAAAGCCAGGGTATTGAAGCTGGTTGAGGCCCCAAAACAGTCGGCTAAGTAACCTGGTTGGGACATATATTTGTAAGCACTGTATTAAATATATTTTTGTTGTAATTTTTAACTGTGAACTAGGCAGTAGAGTGGTGAAAAGGGGCCTAATATGTCGTCATCATCTTTTATTTTTACATATATATATTTTTAAATGTGTTTTGACCAAAGAGTTCAAAGAAACATAAAAATCTGGGAGAAGTCCAGGGCAACACCTCCAAGTCCCTAAATAATGCCATCTCAGTGCTAGGTTGAGTATAATATTCATCAAGAAGTTTGTATTACAGAAGAGTTTTAGACAAAAAGAAAAAATTTATTTTTGCATGATTTTGACATATGCTATTTACAAAGATTCTGGTAGGGTAAAATATGGGAGAATATTGAAGTGATTTAATCAGATTTTTCAGTATTAGCTATTTCTAAGTTTTCAATAAACTTCATGTTGCTTTACATGCCACTTGTGTTAATTTCTCCAAGTTTACCAAGTTCTCAGGCCATTCTTTTGGATATGCCAAAGGACAACTGCACTGAACAATGGAAGTGGAACAGTGTATGTTTTTAGGAGGAGACTGACAGAATAATGGAGATACTTGAACAGCATTTTCACGATGCAGTTCAATTACTGTTAAATGTGCTCTAGTACTTCGTGTGTTTCATGTCTATTGTCTTTCACAGCTAAGTTGAAGTTAGAAGGGGAAGAAAAACTAAGTGTATGTTAGTCCATGTGACCCATAACATGGACGAGTCATGGTATCTTTAGAATGAGTTTTGCTAACACTTACGTTCCTCTTAGCCTGCCTCCCTCCTAATCTCCACTGCTTTCCTCAGAGAGCTTCACTAGCACTTGAACCCTCCAACTGACCCTGCTTGGAACTGAGTAACAGTAATAGGTAACCCTGTAGAGCTTACCCTCTGTCTTAGTGAAGCTTATCACTTATCCCGCAAACTTTAACCTTTGCCGTTGCTGTTTTTCGAGGGTGAAATTAATGTTTTAAAATTTTACAAACACTGAGTGTCTTCCCATTGGCTGAATCTTTTTTTAAAAAAGATTTATTTATTTATTTATTTATTGTAAAGTCAGATATACAGAGAGGAGGAGAGACAGGAAAATCTTCTGTCCGATGACTCATGCCCCAAGTGAGCACAACAGCCAATGCTATGCTGATGCCGATCCGAAGCCAGGAACCTCCTCCCGGTATCCTACACGGGTGCAGGGTCCCAAGGCCCTGGGCCGTCCTCGACCGCTTTCCCAGGCCACAAGCAGGGAGCTGGATGGGTAGTGGAGCTGCCAGGATTAGAACTGGCGTCCGTATGGGATCCCAGCGCGGTCAAGGCGAGAACTTTAGCTGCTAGGCCATGTCGCTGGACCCCATTGGCTGAATCTTAGTTATGATGAACCACAGGAATTCCCTTTAGCTATGTTTTAGCCTTTCGTTTTTGTTTATTCCTCCACTTGAAATCTTGCATCCAGCAGAAAAGTTGCACATCCTGTTTGTCCTCAGAGTTGAGTGCCTCATGGTCTTGAGGGGTAGCAAATCATTCATTTGTCAAAACAAAAATGTGAACAGGAGAAGGTGCAAATTACATTAAACATTGTTAATTGCACATGTCATTTTTGTATAAGATTTTTTTTTTTTTAAATTTAGAGGCAGATATTTCTGCTTTACTGGTTCACTTCCTAAATGCCTTATCACTAGAGCTAGGGCAGAAAGAAGTTTGGAGCTGGAAAAAAAGTCCAGTTCCCTAACATAGCTAGCAGGGACCTGTGTTCTCCAGCCATTACCACCTGTTTTACACGTTAACCCGAAGCTGGGATGGCAATGTGGGGGCTCTCCCCCAAATATTCCTCTAGTACCCCGTTGTCGGAGGGGGTGAGCCTGCTACCCGCCATCCAGCTTTCCAGCGCGCAAGAGACAGATGCACTGGGGTTCTGTCTAAGCAGTTCCGGTTTATTTGGAAAATTCAGTTTCTTATATAGAACAGGCAATAGCCTCAGGCCAGGAATTCCAGGAGGGGAGAACTAGTAGCCAATTACACGGAGCACAACTGCGGAAGCCACCGCCCATAGGCCAGGGGCAGGTGAGTGAAACAACGTGACCCCTCCCCTGGTTCACGCCCACGTCTCTGTCCTCACGCCCACGTCTCTGTCCTCAACCGCCATCGTGCTGGTCATGTGTAACCCAGTGACCTCGATTGTTACTCGCCATCTTGTTGACTTAGCCCCTGAGCCCCACAGCAATGGAGTTGGAACTTGAAACCAGGCAGTCTGATAGGGGATGTGGGCCTTCCAGATGCGTTTTAATTAGTAATCGCCAAATGCTTGTTGCTGCTATGTTTTAAGAAAAAGACGAATATAAAGTACAGAGACATAAGAACACAGGATACACAGTAGGGAGGTGAGAGGAGTTTACCAGTGAATTCAAAATTAGTGAAGGCTCCCTGTCAGGAAAGGCCTGGTGAACTTAAAGTATGAAAGGATTCAAAAAATATCCACGGACACGACCTAGATCTAGCTTGGAGAGGGGGAAATGGCAAGAAAAAATCTGAGAAAGTGACTCACAATAGTTCTGAATACTACTCAGAAATGGGGAACTGTCACAAGCTCTGACTGACTTGGCTCTGGCTGTTGTGGCCATTTGAGGAGTGAACCAGCCGATGGAGGTGCTCTCTTTAAAAACTGCCTTTCAAATATATCTTTCTGGAATTAGTTCATTCTGAAAGTTCAGAAGAGTTTATTGTGAAAGTGAATAATAGAAAAAGATTGTCAAATTTCTCCAGAGGTTGTTAAAACATAGTGTGAAAGACTGAGTTATAGTAAGCCACACTGTCCCTCACACCTCTTCTGTCTCTCCTCCTCTGTACATACCTTTCCAAGTGACCGCAATGGCCAATCCTGCATTAATCCGAAGCCAGGAGCCGGGAGCTTCTTCCGGGTCTCCCACGCCGGTGCAGACTCCCAAGGCTCTGGGCCATTCTCAATTGCTTTCCCGGGCCACAGGCAGGGAGATGGATGGGAAGTGGGGCCGCCGGGATTAGAACCGGTGCCCATATGGGATCCCAGCGGGTTTAAGGTGAGGATCTCAGTTGCCACACCACCGCGCCGCGCCGAAGCTTTTTAAAACTTCTTTAAAAAATATTTTTAGTCTAGCAGCTTTTAAAAGCAACGGTAAACGGGATGGCTCTGAAAGGCAAGAGAAAGGGAGCTGCTGTCTTCTGGTTCACCAAATTCCTGCAACAGCGAAGGCTGGGCCAGGTAAAAGCGGAAACTGGGAGCAGCGCTGGAACGTAAACCGTGGTGCTAATCTAGAGGCTATACACACACTAATTACTGTCTGAAGGGCAAGGTCAAATGCGTCTCCCCACTGCCTTTTTTGAATACTGCTTGGCGCTTGTAGTCACCCAGTACTGAATGTACAGTATTGAATGAATGAGGCAGGTCACACGGCAGTCAGTGCACTTTTGTTCTGCAGGTCAGTAGATGGCACGATTAAAGGACTGTGACACCAAGCACCTGCTGGGTGAAGCTTGAGACCAGGGTTAATGTCTCCTAGGAAGTCAGAACCTCGGGAATTTACGGCCCACATCCAGTAGTCTGGAGAGCTGGGAAGGAACGAAGGATGCCTAACTACCGCGCACCCTTCGAGGGCACTATCGGTAATTAAGACACTCGTCGAACGGGTTCTCCCATGGCTGAGAAGCTGGGAAATGCGGGTTCGTCAGGGTTCCTGACGTGGCTGAGGGGCGCCCTGCTCCCGCCCAGAGTTGTGTGGACGCCAGCGAACGTTCGCTCGCCGGCCGGGAGACCTGCGCCCCGCACAGCAGGGGCCGACGGCTGCTATTGGCTGCTTTGTGGAAAACCCGCCCTCCGAGGGAAAGACACCCAATAGCTTCTACTGCCAGCTGCTGTGTCTCACGTGATGTCCAATGACCAACCAGAAGCAGCGATCCTGTTGCCTTGTCCAATGAGACCGGGCATTGGTTACGGTCCGCGGAGTTTGAGTTTCGTCCGGAAAGGCGGAAGTACCGACCGAACTCTTCTGGGACCTGCCGTAGGCAGGAGGGTCGTGCCTCCCGCGCCTGGGCTCCATTGCGGGCCGAGGCAGGCGCTCGATCCCCCTCTGTGCGTCATACTTCTCGCGCAGGCGGATGCCGGGCGCCCCAGAGCGCTCCTGGCGCGGGTTCTGGGTCGCAGCTCCGTTAACGCCGGTCGGCCGCATCTCCCCCACTGGGAGATCTCCGCTCCGGGACAGGTGAGCGGGGCTGCCCTGCGGGACTGGGAGGACTCCCCAAACGGGGCTGCGTGCAGCTAACACTCACCAGCTGGGGGACCAAGGGTTTATGTTCCTTAGGTCTAGAAAGAAGGAGGAGCGGAGGAAGGTATTGCGATGCGCTTTGAAAAGAGAAAACAGTTGGGAGAACTTTTGAGTTGGGCCCTTATCTGAGTTTTTCAAGGTTCACCTGAGCTCAACTCAAAGCGAGCTTGGCTATCGTAAACGTGATGCTCTCCCGTTTGGTTGTGGATTAATATCTGTTAACGAGGCCCCCGTAGAGGCTCAAACGACCCGGGAAATATTAATGTCATTTAAAAAATCAGTTGCCCCCTTCTTTATAATCCTACATTTCTCTTGCCACCTCCTCCCCTTAACTTTTATCCATATATGGCAATGTACTGATGGATGCAATGAGAAAATTCTTCCTGTTTACTTAGTACAATTTATGTGGTAACTATTTGTCCAGATTAATATCCTCCAGAATTTTTCCTCAAGGCACCAAGATGCTGATAATGCTTCTTTGAGTTTGCTTGCAGTGTTTCTTTCATCGATGTCTCTCATAATGTGTATCTTAAGGGATATGCTGCAATATTTTGGTGTTCCCATAGACCAGGTAAGTGTCTTTCCAGAGTTTTGAATGACTCTGTTACCCTAGGCCTCATTTGAGGCAAAATTGGTACAATAGTAAGCTTGTCTTTGGTAATTTGAGTTAAAAAGAAAGTTATAGGTCAGATGTCAAAGAAAGTTACAAAGGAAGCGAAATATGGGCAAGGTAATGGGATGAGCATGCCATATTAGAGGGCTCTGCAGTTTGCCTGTGAGTAGCTAGGGCAAATCAGCTTGGAAATATAGTTTTTCCTAAAGAGTTCCATTTTGTGATTTTTTTCCCTTTAGCTAAGCATAACTGGGGTAGTTTATTCATCTGCAAGATGGAAGCACATCATACTGAATGAATGAACCATTTTTGGATGGCAGTGTGGATATCAGTGAACAAATTCACTGGAAAATCCATACAAAATTAGTGAAGTCAAAATGAAGTGGCTGGGCCAGGAATCTAGGAAAGAGGTGAAATTGCAAGAATGATGAAAATGCGACCAGTGGCAATGAGAGAGATTTTTCAGTTGGGAGTGATAAAGCAAAATATAAATTCACAGGTTAGTCACCCAAGAATTGGGAGATTTTAAAGTACACAGCCCTCATGCGGTGACGCTGCTAGGCCTGTGAGTCTTAGCAGAGGTGCACACACTAAATACAAACACTCTTGCATTTCCAAACCTGGGATCTACATATTCTTGGCTATGCTGTCCAGTGTGGCAGCTACTGGCCACATGCCACTTTTAAGTCCTTCAGACGTCTTGATTGAGATAAAATACACAATAGATGGAGTATTGCTTGCAGATTGAAATTATGTATATATATATCAAGTTAAATTAACTATGTTAAGAAAACTCACCAGTCTATGTTTTAAAATATGACAACTCCAACATTTCATTGACATATGTGGCCTGTGTTGTATTTCGTTTGGAGAGCATCTTAAGTCAAATGAGTGTACCAGTGGGCCAACTACTGCCCTGAAGGATTCGAAAGAAAATACAAGCCCAACTTTGTCCTCAAACTTCAGTCTAGTAGGCAAGAGGCAACTGCCAGAGAAATACAGTGACGTGGGTTTACATGGCTGCTTCTTTGCTACTGATCAGAACTGGTTTAGAACTGAGTAGAGCGTAAGAATGGAGAGGAGTGTGAATTGGCTAGGGAAAGACAAGTAAAAAGCAGCACAGCACTAGGGCTGTAGCTGGGTTAGGGCCTGCTAGACCTGTGGGGAAATACCTGCTGGGTAGGATGGTACTGGCGTATTTCTTTGTGAGAGCGAGGAAGATAACTTGACCTGAGAGAGCATGAGTTTCTGTGAATGAATTGTGGGAAATTCAGTAGACTAGATGGGGCCAAGAGCATTGGCCTTTAAAATGTGATTTCAGAACACATGTGGAATGTGTACAATAGACAGGTTTCGGAGACTGGGCTGAGTGAAGAAAAGTTGATGCAAACCTTTCTTTTTGGCAATCTGTGTGTCGTGTTTTTAATCAGATACATTTTCCCTGAACTTTTTGAAGTCCCCTTGTATCCATGGATTTAAAAAAAGTTTTGTATCAAATAATCCTATCTTTTCATTCCATTTTCCTTGCAGTCTTTGAAATATTCTTGTGTGTTTTTTAAAAATTATAACAACATATTTCACTTTCTTAAAAAGCTTTACTTGAAAGGCAGAGTAGCAGAGGGAGAAGAAGAGATAGAAAGAAATCTTCCATGTGCAGGTCCACTCTCCAAATGGCCACAATAAATAGGACCAGGCCTGGCTGAAGTCAGGAGCCAGGAACTCCATCCGGGTCTCCCATCCAGGTCTCCCACATGGATGGCAGGGGCATAGCTCCTTGGGCCATCCTCTACTGTTTTCCCAGGCACATTAGCAGGGAGCTGGATTGGAAGTGGAACAGCCAGGGCTCGACTGACACTAATGTTGGATGCTGATGTGACAATGAGAGGCCTCATGCGCTGTGCCACAATGCTGGTCCCCCGTTTCACAGCTGGGACCTTTTTAAGAACTGACTTCCAAAAGATATATTCTGTTGAATGTAAATAACACATTTGTCTAGGATTCTATTTATCCCTCTTATTTATTTATTTAAAGAAAATTGCTTGGTAATTTGAAATGATCCTATTTTTTTTATTAGTGGTTGTGATGCAGGAATGAGAGGACAGATCCCATTTTTTATTTAGGCTAAAACATGGTATTTTTGTTTGGGAGGAGGGGAGGAGATTTTCCTGGCAAATACAGACTATTTAGCTATCAGAAATAGAACAAAACAATCTATTCTTTCTTGCGATATCTTTCTGGAATGTGTATATGTTCACTCCTATCCCTTTTTAATTTTTTTTTGTGAAAGGCAGATTTGCAGAGAGGAAAGACAGAGAAAGACCTTCAATCTGCTGGTTCACTCCTAACGTGGCTGCAATGGCTGGAGCTGAGCCAATCCGAAGCCAGGAGCTAGGAGCTTCTTCTGGGTCTCTCATGCAGGTGCAGGGTCCTAAGGCTTTGGGCTGTCCTCAGCTGTTTTCCCAGGATACCGGCAGGGAGCTGGAAGGGAAGTGGAGTAGCCAGGATATGAATCAGTGTCCATATGGGAGCCTGACATATGCAAGGCGAAGACTTTAGCCACTAGGCTACCTTGCTTGGGCCCTATTTTTTTAAACAGGATTTATTTGTTTATTTGAAAGACAAAGTTACAGAGAGAGATGTAGAGGCAGAGACGAGAGAGGTCTGCCATCTGCTGGTTCACTCCCAATGGGGGCTGGGACAGGCCAAATCCAGAAGCTGGGAGCTTCTTTTGGGTGAGTGGCAGAAGCCCAAGACCCAGCCCATCCTCTGCTACTTTTCCAAGGCCGTTAGCGGAAAGCTAGGGTTGAAGCAGAGCAGCCAGGACTAGAACTGTTGTCCTTACGGGCTGCCAGCAACACAGAGGATTAGCTTGCTCTGCCGCTGTGCTGGTACTCGTGTTTGCTTTTTAAAAACCAGTGTTGGGCCCGGCACGGTGGCGCAAGTGGTTAAGTCCTCGCCTTGCATGCCCGGGATCCCATATGGGTGCCGGTTCTAATCCCGGCAGCCCCGCTTCCTTTCCAGCTCCCTGCCTGTGGCCAGGAAAGCAGTTGAGGACAGACCAGCATAGCATCGGCTGTTGCGCTAACTTGGGGAGTGAATCATCGGATGGAAGATCTTCCTCTCTATCTCTCCTCTCTGTATATCAGCCTTTCCAATAAAAAAATAATAAAAAAAAATAAATCTTAAAAAAAAAAAAAAAACCAGTGTTATTGCATTTAGTTTTCAATGTGCTGAATTGCTTTTTTTTTCTCCCTTAAATGTGTAAACATGCATAATCATTGCATTTTAAATCATCCTTTATGTTTAAATAGGCTTTGGTGATTTGGAAAAATAAAGATTATGGATCGGCTCGGAGTATTGTTCGTATTATTGGCAAAATGCTTCCTCTAGAGCCTTGTCGGCGACCTAATTTTGAGGTAAGTCAGCAACTGTGCATTGTTATAGAATGTTTCTGCACAGTCCCAGGGATGTAGGGTAGACCTGTGCAGGAGGAACTGTCCCCTGCAAGTCGGAATCCCTTACCTCTGGAAATAAGTCCCTTTCCATGCGTCTTTCTCGTTTTAGTTTCTTTAACTTATTGCATGTGGAGGTGGGCAGGTGTGAGTATCAGCTCAGGAGGTTATTTGGTTTTTGGGGATAGAGTTGACTAACCAGGGGAGATAATATTGCTGTGTGCTCAGACTGCTGGATGAACATTTCCCGCGGTGTGGTGTCCTGGCTGGCTGCAGGTGCATGCTGTCCCACTTCACATCCTTTCCCCTGGTTGGCCCTGTTAACTCATTCAATGCTGTGAGTGCATGCCTTCTCTGAAATCCTTGCAGAGCTGTAACATTTTTTTTTTCTTTGTAACTTCAGCTGATCCCGCTCTTGAACTCTGTAGACCCTGATAGCTACGGACCTAGGGTTCCCTCTTTTGCTGATATCTTGTGTGTGGCAAATGATGAAGAAGCCGGTTGTCTGAGATTTCGGTAATTTTATGTTTGTTTGGGAAGTGGGGTTCACCTAGAAGCCTAATGCTTGCATGTGCTGAAGTTGCTGAGTCCTGATTGAGCCTTCCTGTTCTATTCACCTCTGTGTGCGTCTGTGTGTGCCACTGGTCATCTTGGTAATAAGGATGACTGATTGTTCTGACTATTTCAAGCCACGATTACTCTTGGCCTAGGAGGAAGGAATAGTGAAGGGATATTACGTCCATTCTGTTTTCCCTACCAACTACAAGATTTATATCTTTAGTCAGATCTCACACAGTACTCAACGTGCACCTGGCTCTTTGGAGCTGTGGGTCCACAGCTGTGGATTCAACCAACCACAGCTTGAAAATATTCTGGAAAATATCGATTCCAGAAAGTTCTAAAAAGCAAAAGTTGGATTTTCTGTGTTCCAGATGTTATGTTGCATCCATGCATGTCAAGCAGTGTGTCAGCATTGTATTGGCTGTTGTAAGTAATCTAAGGTGATTTGAAGTATATAGGAAGGTGCACGTGAAAGATTCCGAATCTGGCTGGAAAGTCAACGTTAAGAGTGTATTTAGCTGCTCAAATTGAGGATTTGATTCAGATAGTCAGTTGCCTGTGTTAACTATTCCACAAGTTTGAGTTTGGCTACAAGTTAACATTTTGTTCAGGGTGGGTATATGCATCCAATCAAGTTCCAATAAGACAGTTATGTATAGTTATCAGTCACGTGGAAAATGGAAGAAGCGCTCCTGATCATTGTTAACAGACCTGACGGTTGACAAAGGCTGTGCATGACTTCCATGCTCTTCACGGGATGATCTCTGTGGTTTATTAATCACTCTTTTCACTGTGACCTTCAGAGGGAAAGCACACTCCTTTTTTTTTCTTTTTTTCTGCAATAGGATTGATTTATTGGTTAAGGTACAGTAGCTTGGTTGGGATTGGTGTTTGGGAGGTACTGTTGCTTCTGAAGCAGCTTCGGGGCGTCTTCAGAGCCCGTCTTAGGCCTCCATCTCTGCAATCACCACTCCAGTAGTCCGCATCGGCAGTGGCTTTGGTGAGGGGCTTGAACGTCTGGATTCAGTATCTATAGAAGGTTCTGGGGCCGAGTTTCCACACTTCAGCCACTGTTTCAAATTTTCAGCTAATTTTTGCCTTGGAGCGTGCTGACGTATATAACAATTGATTCAGTACAGGCATTCAGTTCAGTGAGTGCCGGTTATTCAAAGGTTCTGGCTGCTTCCCATGTGTGCAACTAGTTCACCAAATGTTTAAGTAGAGAGAAGACTATAAACTTACCCCAATCCTGAATAGAAGTCCTTTCAGCACCTTCCATTGAATTTTAAATTCTGTACGGTGTGAGGATATTTATTTTTGTTTTACAGCTGAACGCAAGGCCCCCTCGTTCCCTTGCTGGCCCTCTCGTAGAGGCTATGTTCTGGTCCGAGGCTTGAGAGCATAAGCTATGCTGGGTGTGTCTTGGTTCTCAGTGAATCTAGGGAGAAGCACAGGGGAAGAAAGCCGCTCTGGTTTGGTTTGCAGTTGCTTTCCATAAAAGAATTTTTCCTCCTCTGATTGAAAGTTTCCTTCCCACTCTCCCTCCTTCTCTCTCCAATTTTTCCCTTCCTTCCTTCCAACCCACAGAAATGGTATGTGGAAAAATGAAAAAGAGGAAAAAAGTGAGTTTACCCATCTTGGGCAACTAGTTTGGGATCCATTGTCACCTGCTCCAAGACAGAACAAACCAGTGAAAAGTGATCCGCCTGCAGATAAAACTGCAATAAAAAAGTTGGCTGCCCTTGAAGAGGAGCTCGCCTTCCTTCGCTCCCAGATCGCTGCCATCGTGGGAATGCAGGCGCTGAAAGACATGGCAGGTGCTGGTGAGTCGCTCGCAGGACCTCTTGTTTTTTAGGGGATACTCATCTAGTTTTCATGTCAGTACACTTCTGAGTAAAAACTGTCAATGATATTATCATAGAGTGTATCATAAAAGTTGGTATGTGCAATTATATATTTTTTCAAAGATTCATTTATTTATTTAAAAAGCAGAGTTACTGAAAAAAAAATAAGCTCCCATGCACAAATGGCCATAACCCCTGGGGCTGGGCCAGACCAAAGCCAGGAGCCAGGACCTTCATCCAGGTCAGCCACATGGGTGCAGAGGCCCAAGTACCTGGATCATCTCCCACTGCTTTCCCCATGTTAGCAGGTAGCTGGCTTGGAAATCAAGTAGCAGGCACCCTTCTTGGATGCCATCACAGATGACAGGTTAACCTACAATGCTACAGCGCTGATACCAGATAGATATGGTTGTAACATCTGATATTTGTGGCTTTTGGTTAAAGAAGAGTTAGCTATACTGTAGGGATTATTTTTGTTTAAAAAGTTTCTTCTAAGTAAGCTTTCTCAGCTCTTCAGAAAACTGTTGAAAATGAAGTTGGGTTTAAAGCCTCTCATAGTTGTAGTTTTAGTTATGGCTGACACCCTTCCACTAAGTTCAGGTGAACAATGTTTTGCAGATGATCTTTTTCTAAAATTTTAGAAATACAACTTGGCTTTAAATACACACACATGCATATGTATAAAAAGTTCATACATTGGAATGTACTTTGAAAGGTCATGGAGAATGGAATTAAAAGATGTTTTTGTTTTAAAAAATTAAGAAAAAATCTATGTGTGGTGTGTGTGTGCGTATGAAATTTAAAGCAACATAGATGCTTTGCTTTTCACAATAATTTGGATGTAAGGAGCCAAGCATGATGTGAATATGATTGCTAAAAATGATCTGTATGCACATATTAATGTAATATTCATAAAATATTTTTATGACAATTTACATAAAGGCAAATTATGTAATATATAATTTTGAGTGAATACAAATCAATGTTCGTGATGTACACTTTTTAAAAGCAAGCATGTTTACTTACAGTCCTTGTGGAGTAAATCTGTTGTGAGACATGAAGTATTTTTTTTTCCCTAAAACTTTAGGATCTTGTTTAGGAAATAATCTGGCTGTTTGTGCAGTGACATTTTAGAATAGATTATCAGTTTGAATGTTGATTATGTTTGCATTCTCTTTTTTTTAATATGGAGGATACACGTAAGATTGTTCATGAATTACTGAAAAGCATTTCTTTTCTTTTCAAAATACCTATTTTCTCCCTCCCCCTTTAAGGCCTACACCAAGAATTATTAATTTGTTTAAAAATGAATTTATGATTTTACTGGACTCAGAGAATTCACTGAGCAGTTAGAATTTACTTAAACATGCTGTTTTTTTTTTTTTTTTTTTTAAGGTCCTTTTGACTTGAGTGATGGCCCCAGTGACTTGGGACAGTCACCATCGCTGGGGGCTGCTGGAGTGAATGTGGACCCAAATCCGTTTCCTGCTTTGAGGGTTCCCTCCCCGCCCCCGCCGCCACCACTACCCGTGCAGTGTTCTTCTCCCCGGCCCTCACGGACTCCTCCCGTCCAACCAGCAGCTGATGCCGTCTGTGACTCAGACAGTGCAACTGAAATCCAAACGCAGCAGCCAGGCGCTCGTCAGACCAGCTGCCCTCACCGTTCAGAAAGCCAGGGATGTGCAGATGTTCCCAACATGCGAGATGTCCTCAAGGATCTGAACAAGGTGAAGCTCCGCGCTGTTGAACGGTACGTTGGGGTCATCTGAGCTGCGACGTCAGCTGCCATTTTAAACAAAGTTTTGTTTATGAACATTATGAAAGAAACAGCTTTCTCTTTCCTAAGGACTTTTTTTTTTTAAGATTTATTTTTATCGCAAAGTCAGATATATTAGAGAGGAGGAGAGACAGAGAGGAAGATCCTCATCTGATGATTCACTCCCTAAGTGACTGCAATGGCTGGTTCTGTGCTGATTTGAAGCCAGGAGCCAGGAATCTCCCTAGGTCTCCCATGTGGGTGCAGGGTCCCAAAGTTTTGGGCCGTCCTTGACTACTTTCCCAGGCCAGATGCAGGGAGCTGGGTGGGAAGTGGAGCTGCCGGGATTAGAACCGGTGCCCATATGGGATCCCAGCATGTTCAAGGCGAGGACTTTAGCTGCTAGTCCATCTCACTGGGCCCCCTAGACACTTTCAATTCTTTTTGCTCCTTCCTTCTAGTGTCTTATCTCTTTGTTTTTGAAATAAACTTTGGCTGTTTCTCAATATTTTATGTTAACCCTACCGTAGAAGTTTAGGGATACACAGTGGTTCTCCTTATTGGTGGTTCTGCTTTTTGTGGTTGCAGTTATTGTCAGCCAGTTGTGGTCTGATAATAATGAAATTGAGCATTGTAGAAATAAGCACTTGATACATTTCAAACTGCAAGCCTTTCTGAATAGCAAAAGGAAATAGTGGACATCTAGTGGCAATTGAAAGCATGACTGAATGGAGAAACAGCCTAATGTTTTTCTTTTCATGGGGCTAGCATTGTGTCACAGTGGATTAAGCTGCTGCTTGTGTTGTCACCATCCTACTTGAGTGCCAGTTCAAGTCTCAGCTGCTGTACTTTCCAGCCAGCCTCTGCCAATGCACCTGGAAATGTAGTAGAGGACAGCTCAAGTATATGGGATCTGGCCATCCCTGTGAGGGAACTACATGGTGTTCTCGACTGCTGGCTTCAGCCTGGCTCAGCCCTGGTGGATGCAGTCATTTGGCGATGAATCAACAGATGGACAATCTATCTCTCTGTAACACTGCCTTTCAAATAAAAATATAAATCTTAAAAAACATTGGGTCCAGGGCCCGGCGCAGTGGCGCAAGTGGTTAAAGGTCCTCGCCTTGCACGCCCGGGATCCCATATGGGTGCCGGTTCTAATCCCTGCAGCCCCGCTTCCCTTCCAGCTCCCTGCCTGTGGCCTGGGAAAGCAGTCGAGGACGGCCCAAAGCTTTGGGACCCTGCACCCGCGTGGGAGACCTGGAAGAGGCTCCTGGCTTCGGATCGGCATAGTATCGGCCCGTTGCGCTCACTTGGGGAGTGAATCATCGGACGGAAGATCTTCCTCTCTGTCTCTCCTCTCTGTATATCCGCCTTTCCAATAAAAAAAAAAAAAAATAATAAAAAATAAAAAAAAACATTGGGCCCAGTGTGATGGCCTAATGGCTAAGTCCTTGCTTTGCATCCACCAGGATCCCATATAGGCCTTGGTTTGTGTCCCGGCTGTTCCACTTCCATCCTACTCCCTGCATCTGGTCTAGGAAAACAGTAGAGGATGGCCCCAAACCTTAGAACCCTGTACCTGCATGGGAGACCCAGAAGAAGCTCCTGGCTTTTGGTTTCGGATGAGCTTAACTCCGGCCGTTGCGGCCACTTTGGCAATGAGCCAGCAGACGGAAAATCTGTTTTTCTGTCTCTCCTTCTCTGTAAATCTGGCTTTCCAATAAAAAAAAAAATTAAATCTTTTTTTTTTAAGTTCTCTTTGTAAAAAAATATATGTATATACATATAAATCCTTTCACATTTCTTCAGAATTTTCTACCCAGAAAACTAGGGGATAAAATTTAGTGAAGATTTTTGGCGCTGTGACATGCGAGAGCTCTGTGGTTTCCTGGATCTTGAGCCCTTACGCCGTGTAGATTTCATGACAACCTTTTGAGAAGGAATCAGATTGACCAATTAGATCATAAGATATTCTTGTATTGCCCTTGTATTTGTCAATAAGCAGCTAAAAGTGCAACAGAATTTTCATCTGTTTTAAAATCAGGTCGCCGGGCGGTAGACCCATTCACAAGAGGAAACGCCCAGCTCCACCGTGGGATCCAGTAGCCTTAATCTCACATGCACTCAAGAAAAAGTTTGCATTCCAAGAAGAGGATTCCTTTGAGAAAGAAAACCAGTCTTGGGCGTCTTCTCCATTTTCTAGTCCAGAAACTTCACGGGTGAGGTAAAGCATGTAACATCTATTCTGAAATTCTTCTCAGTTTGACTGCTCACCATTGGAACTACGCATTCAAGCAGTTTTACGCAGGATGGTTTAGACAGTTGTGTTGCTGTTACTGTTAATTTTACATCTTCATTTTTGCTTTTAGGCTGTTAGTAAGACTTTGGAATAAAATTTACTTGATTTGAAAAATATTCAGGGAAAGGCTGGTGTTGTAGCTCAGCAGGTTGAGCTGCTGCTTGGCATGCCCTCACGTTTCCTGTCGGAATGGTGGTTCAAGTCCACATCATTCTGCCTCTCACCCTTTCTGCTAGTTGGCCCGGGAAGGCAATGGAAGATATGCCCAAGTACTTGGGTCCCTGTCATCCGTTTGAGAGTCTGCATGGAATTCCTGGCTCCTACCTTTGGCCAGGTCCAGCCCCTGGGCATTTGGAATGTAAACCGGCAGGTGGAAGATCTTTCTGTTTCTCCTCTCGTGTCCAGTGTGATGGCTCAGTGGCTAAACCCTCACCTTGCTTAAAAGAACATACTTTATGTTTCCAGCAGTTGTTCCTTAAGATTGCTTCTTTTTTTGAAGTCTTATTTAAGAAGATTTAGAAATAATTCTATTTTTGGGTGCTTTGCACAACTTAGAATTTAGCTTAGATAAATACAAATAAGCCCCAGGAGGAGGGGATGGGCATGGGGTGCAGCAGTTGGGGTACCCACATTCTGTATTGGGGTACCTGGGTTCAAGTTGTGATTTTGTTTCCCATTCCAGCTTCCTGGGAGACAATGATGGTCACGTGATTGGGTCCCTGCCATTCACATGAGCCCGTGCTAATGCCCTTAAATTGACATCTGACGGGGTAGAGTCAAAAGTTCGATTGCAGGCCTTCAGATAATGGGCTGTTTGGCAATCAGGAGTTACCTGGGAGATTCGTGTAGGTGACTCTGACTCTGCTAGGGACAGTGGGTCAGTGAGGTCCGGCGGTTAGCCTGGTTGCCAGGTACTGTGTGTTCAGTGTCTCTTAGCAGTTTCTTCTGAACCAGCTAGGAGCACATTAGTGGAAGAATCATCTCTATCGTACAGCATCAGATTCCGGCCTGGACAAGCAGGGTCTTGACAGTGTAGTCAAGGGGAGGCTTCGTCTGTCACTGAGCATCTGCTTCCTTCTGAACATGGGTCTGACAAGTTGCCAGTCCTCTGTTTTGCCAAATCACTGTTTGTTTTGTTAAGATTCATTTATTTGAAAGAGTACCCAGGGAGAGAGAGAGAGACAGAGAGCTCTGTCATTTGCTGGTTCACTCCTCAAATGGCAGCAACAGCAAGAACTAGGCCAATGTGAAGCCCTGAGCCAGGGACTTCTGGGTCTCCCCAATGGATGCAGGAGCCCAAGAATTTTTTTTTTTTTAATTTCATTTCATTGTATGACATAGTTTCGTAGGCTCTGGGATTCTCCCAACCCCTTCCATGCCCTTTCCCCATGGTGGATTCCTCCACCTTGTTGTAGTAGTACAGTGCATATCCAGTCATGATTCCTTCATTGCAAGCATGTACCATACATAGAGTCCAGCATCTTATTGTCCAGATAAATTCAACAGTTTTTTGGGGAGACCATCTCTGGTCTGAAAGTAGAGCTAGCAGAATATCATCCCCTCCAATGAAAAGCCACAACATAACATCAACAACAATTTACAACATTATGGAGTTAATTGACATGGTATTGAATAATAACCAATGTGTTAAAAAATGCAAGTTCTTAACCACATCCTGTGACTACTTCATTGACATTTCAATTTTAGTTTATACACAACCGGCTGCTATACAGCTTAAAATGGCTATAGGGTACTATTCAGCCATCTCGTGTCTATTTTCATTTTTATGTTTAGCAGTTTATAGTATTGAAGCATGTTTTTTACTGAACTTGATGAATTTTAGGATGGTCTAATCAGGCTTATAACTCTAACAAGGCATATGTCAACAGTTGAGGCGCAGAACAGTTTTAGGAGGGGTGTACAGAGAAATCTTCAATACCCCAGTGAGGAGTAACTAATCTTTGTGTCCTACCTAGTAAGGTATATGTGAGTCCAAGCTGACAGTTTCCTGTCTGATTCTAAGCTTTCCTTGTTGGTCTCTGCCGCCATCCTGTGGCGACACTAAAATGACAAGGAACTCTGGAGGGCCTGGAAAAACAGGAACCACCACCGCAACTGGCACACACACTGAACGAAACACACAAACACACACACAAATGAACAAGTGAGCGGAAAGGGAGAGATGAACGAAAAGGCAGGCGAATGAAAAAGGTTTATTGCTGAGAGTGAGCTGCTTATATACAGTTCTCCACCAATCACCTCTCCCCGTGGGTCCACTGGGCACTAGCTGATAGGCCGGTAGCAATGGCATAATCGCAGTGGGGACATTAGCACATTGTGGAACAGCTAAAACTCAAGATTCGGTGCCCACATGGGATGCTGGACTTGCAGGTAGTGGCTTTCCCTGCTATGTCACTGGGCCAGCCCCAAACAACTTCTGTTGTTGATGGGATTCAGCCCAAAGGGTCGTCTTGACAGCTTGACATCAGTACCTTGGCATTCTTATTCATAGAGAAATAAATTCTGTATTAAACATTTCTTTCTTTCAGTTTGGACGTCACATTTTGCAGTCAGAAGGACAGTAAAGGAAGAGCGAATGCACAGGAAATCTGTTGACCAAGGTGTGAGCAGAAACTGTTGCTCTACGCTTCGAAGGAAAGATCGTGAGAATATGCCAGGCGTGTCTTTCATCACATTTCCAAAGAGCTGCTGAGGGAAGTTAATTAAAGGCTGTACACTGGGATGTCCTCTTGCTGAGGCCTGAACAGTCTTGGCTTGCAGGAAGGAACACTTGTCTCCTGCTTCGGAAGAGCCATAGTGAGCTAGCTATCATTGATAGTTAGGTGCGTGAATTCTTTTGTGTGTGTGTGTATGTTAGTATTGCTCAAGGCTGAATTCTATATTCATAATTTTCCTGTGCAATTATGACCCAAACTTTAAGAACCTTTGGATCTTTTAGAAATTGGTAAGGATCTCATTTGCTTGGCTTCCAGCAACTTGGAGATTTTCGGAAAAGATAAAATTGCAATTCTTTTTTATTAAGATATTCCTTCTTTCAATCCTATAGGTTAAGTTTCCTAAAACTTTTCCTAGAGATGATAAGTTATTTTTAGAAACAGATTTTGACTGTTAAATACTGAAAGTAGAAGTCTTAAAGAATTTACATGTTTAAAGAATCTTGAGAAGTGTGGCCTATACCGAGTGTATAAAAAATGTGCCCTTGTCTTATTGATATGTCCTGTTCCTATGTTGATAGAGTATAAAATAAATGCACTTTCTGAACTTGATTGTGTTTGGAGCAATTCAAATTCTCATTTTCTCATACTTCCTCAGTCTGAAGAATTTATTTTGTGGTAATGGGTACTATAGGTAGGGCTTCTTGGTAGATGGGAACAATTAAGTACATGTAGATAGATGTCTTGTCCTTTGCCTGCAAACTCAGATGCCTTCAGGCTGTGCACAGCTGGGGGTTTGGGTAACTCTTACTGGACTCAGCGCCCATGTGTTTTGCAAGGCTCTCCACTTTGAGAAAAGCCCTGCTTGCCCAGGGTTTTCTTGGGGCTACCTGGCCCCACCTTTCTCATTGGCCCCCTTGTGGTTAGGGAGTGGCCATGCAGCCATCATCTTAGAATCTCAGTGTGGCTGAGCAGGTGAGTCATCGCCAGCAAGACCCATTTTCTTATAACAGAAATATAAGAAAGATACACCCTGGGGCCCAGTATGATGGCCTAGTGGCTAAATCCTTGCCTTGCAGTCACTGAGATCCCATATGGGCGCTGGTTTGTGTCCCAGCTGTTGTGTTTCTCATTCAGCTTCCTGCTTGTGGCCTGGGAAAGCAGCAGAGGATGGCTCACAGCCTTGGGACCCTGCACCCGCGTGGGAGACCTGGAACAAGCTTCTGGCTACTGGCTTTGGATTAGCTCGGCTCTGGCCATTTGCGGCCACTAGGGGAGTGAACCATTAGACCAAAGATCTTTCCGTGTCTCTCCTCTGTATAACTGTCTATCCAGTTAAGAAAAAAAATGTCCCAGTGATCAGAAATCTATGGAAGATCCAGGTTTGAAAATGCTTGAGCCTGCTAGTGTCTTGGAGTTTTTATTTAAAATGTTTCCACATACATTGTGGGATCCACGTATAAGCACAGAATTCATATAAATTCATGTATAATTTATTCATATAAGCTGAAGGCAATCTTTTTTTTTTTTTAAAGATTTATTTTTATTATTTTTTTAATTGGAAAGTCAGATATACAGAGAGGAGGAGAGACAGAGAGGAAGATCTTCCATCCGATGATTCACTCCCCAAGTGAGTGCAACGGGCCGATACTATGCCGATCTGAAGCCAGGAACCTCTTCCGGGTCTCCCACACGGGTGCAGGGTCCCAAAGCTTTGGTCCGTCCTCGACTGCTTTCCCAGGCCACAGGCAGGGAGCTGGAAGGGAAGCGGGGCTGCCGGGATAGAACCGGCACCTATATGGGATCCCGGGCGTGCAAGGTGAGGACCTTTAACCACTTGCGCCACTGCGCCGGGCCCTGAAGGCAGTCTTAATATTTTTATGAAGGAAGTTCCATGGCATGGACTTTTCCACTGGCATTTGGGAAGTTTAGGAGTTGGAATGCTTTAGGTTGCGGGCGTTTGTGATTTGAAATGCCTGACCGGTCTCACCTCTGCTCAGGGAAGTGTTTGGCTTGAGAAACTTCAGGTGGAGTTTCTAGAAAACTTCAGTGTTTCACATCAGCAAAATTTCCTGCTTTCCCCAAGCAATGTCTCCGTACCAGGCATACCTGAGGACCGTGGACTCCTTTCTGTTTAGAAGCGTGGCCCGTGGTGTCCTGGAAGAGGTGACCATATTCCCTTCCGTGGTTGCTTGAGTGGCCTAAGCCTAGAGTCTCAGGAAGGGCTGTTTACTACAGAGACTCTGAGTGGCGGCGGTGCCGTTCAGCCCCTTATCATGAAGCTGTGTGTAAGTGACCTTACACCTGAACTCTACTCAGGAAATCCACATTTGATTCCTTTTTTTGTATACGAATACTGTGAATGCTGAAATGGTTTCTCTTGCACATTATAGAAAAGCTAGCTTAGGGACCAGCGTTGTAGTTCAGCAGTCAGCCGCCACACGCAGCAATAGTACCCCATATGAATGCCACGTTTGAGTTCCAACTGCTGCACTTTCGATCTAGCTCTCTGCTCCTGTGTTGGGAAAGCAGCGGATGATGGCCCAAGTGCTCAGGTCCTTGCACCCTAGAGGAAACCTTGCTGGGGTCCCTGCCTCCTCATTTTAGCCTGGCCCAGCCTTGACCATTGTAGCCATTAGGGGAATGAACAAACAGATGCAAGCTCTCTCTTTTTATCCCTCTAATTTTTTTTTAAAGATTTATTTATTTTTATTACAAAGTCAGATATATAGGAAGGAGGAGAGACAGAGAGGAAGATCTTCTATCTGATGATTCACTCCCCAAGTGACTGCAACTGCCGGTGCTGTGCCGATCCAGAGCCAGGAGCCCAAGAACCTCCTCCAGGTCTCCCACACGGGTGCAGGGTCCCAAAGCATTGGTCTGTCCTCGACTGCTTTCCCAGGCCAGACGCAGGGAGCTGGATGGGAAGTAGAGCCGCTGGGATTAGAACCAGCACCCACATGGGATCTCAGCACGTTCAAGGTGAGGACTTTAGCTGCTAGGCCACAGTGCCAGGCCCTTATCCCTCTAATTTTAACTGTCAAATAAATTTTTGAAGATAACACTTTTGCATTTGGAATTTAAAAAAAATTTATTTGAAAGAGTCACAGAAATAGGAGAGAGAGACAGAAAGTGGTTCAGTCCTCCAATGGCTGCAACAGCCAGAACTGGTCTAAATCTGAAGCTGGGAGCCAGGAACTCCATCTGGTCTCCCACATGGGTGCATGGGCCCAAGGACTTGGGTCATCTTCCACCACATGCCCAGGCTTATTAGCTAGGATCAGAAGTGAGCAGCTGGAACTCGCACCGTGATCCATGTGGGTGCAGGTGGAGGCTTAATGTGCTACTTAATGTACTGTAGCACTGGCCTCTGTCATAGCCTTGTTTTACAGATGAGTGGGTTTTAGCCTCTGTCCCAGAAGCTATCCTGGGCTTTCCTAACTGGTTGGTTGGTAGAGCTGGAATTTGAATCCAGGAAGATGAGATCTACAACTCATGTTTTAATTTAATAGCAATGTGGCCCATTTATAAACTTGACTATCTGTTTATTTAAGGCAATTTACAAGGCTTGGCAAAATAATTTTAAGACTGGGAGAGGAAAAAAAAAAACTACAACCTGCAGTTTTTCATATTTGCCACGAGAGGGCAATACAACACTGAGTGCACCCAGGCAGGCTCCTGCTAACCTGTGAGCACATTCGGCCATCACATTTGTATTGTACAATGTGTAGACAAAGCAAAGTTAGAGTCAACGTTAATTGAAAAAACTGGCCATTTTGAAGGGTGTTCATCAATAATAAATAGCTATGTTGCTGACTTCTCTCATATTACTTGTGTTATTGGCTGATTCAACATTTCCCAACAAACATATTATATAAAATTCAACGATGAAAGCAAAGGATGGCACTGCTTAGTTATAAATTTCAGTATTGTAGAGAGAAGGGGCTGGTGTTGTGGAATTGTTGGTAAACCTGCCACCTGAGATGTTGGCATCTTTTATGAGGACCAGTTTGAATCCTGGTGGTTCACTTTTTTAAAAATAGAGTAATTATTTTTTATTGGAAAGTCAGATATACAGAAAGGACGAAAGACAGAAAGATATTTCATCCAGTAATTCACTCCCAGGTGGCTGCAATGATTTGAGCCAAACCAATCCAACACCAGGAACCTGGATCTTCTTTCCACGTCTCCTACATGAGCGCAGGGTTCCAAGACTTTGGGCCCTCCTCAACTGCTTCCTCAGACCTCAAGCAGGGAGCTGGATAGGAAGTGGAGCAGCCGGGATCAGAGCTGGCACCCACATTGGGATCCCAGTGCATTCAAGGCGAGGACTTTAGCTGCTAGGCCACCGTGCCGGCCCCACAAGGAAAGGACTTAGCCACTAGGTTGCCACACTGGGCCCAGATGTTCTACTTCTGATCCAGCTCCCTGCTAGTTGTGCCTGGGTAAGCAGTAAGGGTGGCTGACCCTGATTTTTGGGCCCTGCACCTGTGTTGGAGACCTAGGTGAAACTTCCGGTTTCTAGCTTTGTGATCCAGCCCCAGCTGTTGAGGCCTTTTGGGAACTGAACCAGCAGGTGGAAGCTCTCTCTTTCTCTGTAACTTTGTATTTCAAATAAACTGAATGTTAAAAAAAAAAAATATTGCAGAGAGTGAGAAAGCCCCAAGTTCTCCGGTGCGGCCTTCACTGTTTGGGAAATGCACCGGCTTTACTTGGACAATCCGATTACTATTTTGGCTTTTATCTCAGACAAGATTGGAAAACCAGACTGGTGGAGGTTTATTTGGTGCACAGCAACTTGGACATGCAAATAAGTATTTTCCAGGGTATCCTGCTACGCTTTGTTTTCCTCCAGTGTGGGTGACCAGGGGCGTCCCTCAGCTGGGCTGAACCTGCTGGGACCCATGCAGCGTGAGATTGCATCGTGTGGTGCAGGAAGCCATGGGCGGGGCCAGCTCTCTGCGTCCCATCCACTCTCATGCAGCCTGAGCTGCCATCTGCCTGGTTCTTCTCCCTGGGAAGGGATGGGAAGAGAACCAACACAACACCTTCACCATCCTTCTGCCCTCTGCAGGCCCGTGATCCTGCGCTCAGGGAGGACAATCAGTTGCTT